CGTCGTCGGACGCGGGCACCGCACTGGGGGCCGCGCGGCGGGCAGCACCACCTAGTGGGCGGACCGTGCCAGGCCCAGTCCGCGGCTGTGGTCGGCCTGTTTCTTTTGCGATCTCTCACTTCTTTCCTTTGTCACAATTTTTCCCCTGTTAGAGTTTACATTGTCATTTAAAAGTCAAGGTCAGGGGCTGGAGAGGTAGTAGCAGGTGAAGGTGCTTGCCTGGCACTGCCAGGGTCCTCTGGGCAAAGAAACAGCAGGAGTCCCGGCGCATTGCCAGGTGGCCCAAACCCTCCACCCCGAGGCCACACACTGTACCTCAGCACATGTCTGTACACACTGCGCCCCAGCACACGCCTGTACACACATTGTACCCCAGCACATGCCTATATACACTTATTCCAGCACACGCCTGTACACACTGTACCCCAACACATGCCCACACTGTACTCCAGCGCACGCCTGTACATAAACACTATAACCCAGCACACACGGTCACACACTGCAAGTCAGCACACGCCTGTGCACATATTGTACTCTGGCACACGTGTCGTACACACATGCACATGCCCTGTACCCATGACACGTGTGTACACACTGCTCCAGTACGTGCTTGTAGACACGCTCTTAGCAGCACTTGCACACTGTGCCCCAGCACACATGTGTACACTGTATGACCATGTTCTGAGGCCTGTGGCCTGCGGCGGGGCGGGGAGTGGCGCTTGGCCTGGGTGGCCGTCTGGGCGCTCCTTGGCAGGCTGGGGTCGCACCTGCAGAGCTCGTGGTCCCGCAGCGCTCTGCCCTGTCTCCGTACCTGGATTGTGCTGGGGACTGGTCATGGCCAGGAGAGCAAGGTGCCCGTGGACCGTCCCCTTCAGCTGGGAAGGATGCCGCTCGTGGCCGCGGTGGGACCCGAGGCACCCGGATGGCCTGTGTTCCAGGGAAGCCGCAGGTGTGGCCCATGGACGACAGACTGAGAGGGGCCCTGTGGCCCGGGGTCGCTCCAGGCCGGGCCCACACCTGAGCCCTGGAATGTGTCTCCAGCCCTGCCGGGAGTTGCCTGCAGCCGAGGCAAGGCCCTTGCCCTGTAGTGCCCAGGGCGATTCCGCCAGATGACCTCTGTCCCAGAGGCCGGGACACACTGACTCATCCGCCCCCGTGTTCCAGATGCCAGTGGCGTCGGGCTTCATGGGCCGCTGGCCGCCAGCGGGGTCGTCCAGCCTTCGGAGTTGCTGTCTCCTCTCCCGCAGTCCAGGCACAGGCGTGTGCCGCATCCCTGTGCCGTCCCCCAGGGCCTGCCGAGGAGGAGCCGGCGCCACGTGCCCTCACACCCACAGGCCGTGTCTTCCGCAGAGCGTTGGGCTCCGGAAGCTTCCGACTCCTCGGGGAGATCCCCCGGCCCTCCCTGTCCCATGCGTCTCTGTCTGTCCTCCTGACGCTTCTTGAGGCTGTGTCCATCTGTGTGCGTGCTCCAGCACATCCACCCCGGGCCCAGCCATAATTACACGTTAGGTCAAAGGTTGTGGCAGCCGAGCACCGCCCCCGAGTGGAAGTTTGCCGAGACAGGGAGGGTCGGTCCAGCAGAACGTGGCAGGGGCGCGCGGGCTCTGACTGGGGCGTCGGTTCCTCAGGATGAGTGACCAGCCCAGCCTGGGGGTGAGCAGGGGCAGTTTCCAGGTGCCCGGAGGTGTTCTCATGGGGAGAATGGACAGGGCTGACGAATGGGGGTGGGGTGGGGGGCCCGAAGGCCTTTGGCTCAAACTGACTGTCCACTGTTTCAGGAAGAAACTACTCTGTGTCCCCCTCCACTGCCCTGAAGCCTGCCCTCAGTAAGGTAACGAAAGACACCCCAGCAGTCCCCATGCTCCTGCCCCACTGTCCAGCGTCCCAGTTTTGGGTGCAGTGTTGCCCTCCTGCAGAGGACCTGGGGAACGTTGAGGGAGTTTCCGTGGTCGCTGCTTTGGGGCACCAGTGGACATGCAGTGGATGGGGCCTCTGCTGGAACCTGGGGCAAGCTGGGCACCAGAGCAGTGGGAGGTGGAGAGAGGTTAGTGGGCAGCTCTGGGCAGGACCTACTGACCTGACATCAAGGCTGAGACGGCTCCCGGGAGAAAGGGACCAATCCTGCATCCTGAGGACGATGGTGCTGGGGGCCAGCAGTGGGGGTGGCCCGGGGCCTCGAAAGGGGGTACTGGCCCAGCGCACACTGCCCAGAGGAGAGAGCTAGAGAGGCCCGGCCCTTGGTTCGTCACCTCCTCTCTGGTGCCGTGGCTTTGGGGTTGCTGTGCCCCAGAGGCGGTGGCGGTGATGGATTTGGCCGAGGGAGTGACTCGCAGCGAGTATGCTCGGTCCCAGGAAGTGCTCCCCGGCTTGGCAGCAGTTGGCAAGCGCTGGACGGCCAGGTTGGTTCTGGCTGAACTGCAGGCCGCCTGCAATGGAGAGGAGAGAACAACGAATGACCCAGGACCCGCCCTCCCATTGCGGCTGTCGGGAACAATGCAGAACACGCCCGGCACTGTGTGGTCAGCCTCCGGGGGTCGGCTGCCTGCAGTTGGACCCTCTGCCCACCGCTCTTGCTGGGCACAGCACCCCAGTCTGAAGCAGGTGCGCAGGGTCATTCATGACACCCACCCCCGGAAAAGCAGTGCACTCTCTATGAGCCTCCAGCCCGACCCTGGAACCCAGGACAACAAACCCAGGACCACCTGGGGTTGTTTTAAGGCGTTGACAGCTCCCTGAAGCCACTAGCCTGCTGCTGCCATCTGGTGGCCACTCTGGGGCTTGCACCCACCTGTTGATGCTTGAAGTGGATAAAAATCAGTTCCTCGGCTGAGTAGGGAGGGCACTGGCCTTGCACACGGCTGACCCTGGCTCAGTCCCCACATCACGTATGGTTCTGTGAGCACTGCCAAGAGTGACCCCTAACTTCAGGACCAGGAGCAAGCCCTGAGCGCTGCCTGTGTAGCAGGAGGGAGGGAGAGAGGGAGGGAGGGAGGGAGGGAGCCGATCCTTCATTGTCAGGACAAGAGCTGTTTGTCAGAGGCACCTTCTCCCATGGAGGCAACAGCACTGAGGAGACGGGATTGGAAGAAGGGGTTGACTTGAACCCTGACCCCAGCAGAATGGGGGTGTGTAGAGAACCGGGGAGTGAGGACTTAGCCTTGGTCCTGGGGTGCCAGGGACCAGCAGTCGCTGAGATTTAAAAAAATAAAGTAGAGGCGGGAAAAAAAAATAAAATAAAGTAGACTCTGGCAGGGGAGGAAGGGGAAGCCGGGAAGGCACAGCTGGGGCCATTGACCCTCCGCCCCGACCGCCCCCTCTGCGCATTCTGGGCCCTCAGGTGTTTGACTCAGGCCCAGACAGTGCACGACCCTGGTCTGATTCCCATCCCCGCACGGTCTCCTGTGCCCTGCTGGGCAGCCCAGCCGCGAGACCTGCCTGTCCCCAGTACCACAGGGCTGGGCAGCGTTGTGTCCTTGGACCTTGGCACTGGAATGATGCCCCTCCGCATTTATGACGCCCACCCCAGGTTGTGCCCAGGTGGCACAGGGTGGTCGGGGACGCCCCTGTGTTTGCGGACCTGTGTTGGGAGCCCGAGCCATGCAGAGGACGGGGCAGACCCCTCCCTGGTGTCCACTGTCACTGTCGGCCCTGCAGGACAGTGCACGCAGGTGGGGGTGTGTGCTGTGCCCATGTCCTGCTGGGCCTTCCGGGGACCGGGGCCTGCCGCAGTGTCCCAGGCTACCCTAGGTGCCAGCCTCCCCGCTCGGCCCCTCCACACCAGGCGCTTCTCCTGCCTCCGTCCCCACCCAAGGAAGTGAGCAAAGGCCTGGGGGAGGGGGGCTGGTGCCAGGCCAGGCCACCCCGCACCTCCTCCGGCCAAGTGACTGGCGTCTCCCTTCTCTCCTGGGCACTGGCTACTCGGCCTGGACGTGCCCTGCCTTGAAACGCTCTCAGACCCCGCTCGTGGCCTTCAGGTGAGGCCTGTTGAACATCGTCTGTTAAGGTGTTGGTGGCTTGGGGGCCCCTCTGGTGCTGGGCCCGGGGGTCAGTTGCCCTGTAGTGGGCACATCTGCCAGTCCCGGGCGTTGGCGTAGAACCACGCTGTGCTGTGGGCAGGTGGCCGGGGTCGTGAAGTGGCCGCCTCTTCGAGAGCAGGAATGCCCGGTGTTGTGAGCAAGCCGCCCTCTGAGAAGTGAATCCATCTTCTAGAGGTCTGTTGTGTCTGCACAGAGCCAGGCCCTGGCCGTGCTGAGAGTGGAAATTTCTGGAACCATGTTCAGAGCTGCCTGTTGCTCCTGCCCAGTCACGGGTATTGGGTGGGCAGCAGAAGTTGGCCCCTGGGTGGGTTCCTGTGCACGCACACCTGTTGTGGAGAGACGCTGACCAGACCACAGCTGAGGTGCCCGGCCAGTGCCGCTGAACTGAGCATGCATCTCCCGGAGAGGCGGCGTCTGAGGACGGGGAGGCCCGGGGCATGCAGGGGAGTGGACGTCAGCGTCTGCCTGGGCCAGCAGAGGGGCGGGCCCGGGGCACCCCCAGGCCGGGGAGGAGTGGTCAGCAGGGCCCTTGAGCCGGGTCTGGGGGCTGAGCAGGACACGTCTTTGGTTTCCGGTCCACCTCTCGGCGCGTGCTGATATCGGGGTGGGGGCTCGGGGGTCAGTTCCAGATTCGCACGGAGCCTCCAGCAGCCTGCCAGGGACTCACAGGGGCCTTGGGCGGGTGAGAGGGTGAGCACATGCCAGGGACCTGCCACCCCGCCCTCCCCAGCCGTGTCCGTACACTCGCCTCTCCCCTCTGCCTCCTGCCCTGCGCAGACCAGGACCCAGAGCCGCTCACCCTGTCTCCCTGGGGAGAGGGGCGCCTCTGCCTGTGTGTCTGTCCGCAGCCGGGGAGGGGCCTTCCCCGAGGGAGTGTCCAGGCTGCCCCCACACTGGTCCCAGCTGGGCCCTGGTGTCTCAGGGTCCGTTCTGGGTGTGACTGGCCGTGTTCCCTCCTTGTAGATCTCGCACATTGGCAAGCTTCGGGACTTTCTCCTGGAGCACCGGAAGGATTACATCAATGCCTACAGGTGAGCACACCTGGGCCGCGTCGGGCTCTGGGGCTCCTCACATCTGCTCTACCCTCCTCCGGCTTCCCACCCTCACTGGGTGCCCCTTGCCCTGCCTCACCCCCCCCCCGCCCCGCCTCCTTTCCCCCAGGGCCGTTTATGTGCCTGGGCACCTCAGCACAAGCATTTGCTCCTAACAAACCAGAAGTTTTAAACGAGGTATCTTTCTGTTTCCTGGTTTACTTTTTCAATCAGGCAGAACTTGGGGGGGGGGGCTCGAAGAGCAAGCGAATGGGGTACTGAGGTGGGTGGGTGGGCGAGGTGCTGGTTCAAGGAGGGCAGAGGCTTGAACAAGCCGAAAACAGAGGTTTCTAAAAATCATTGTGGCCCCCCTTCAGCTGGCCCATATGGGGTGCAACCCACTTTTCAAGAGGAGCAAGGGTGACTTCATACAGATTCTTTCGCCAAGAATGATTGTCCCCGAGTGGGTGTGAGTCAGCTCTGCTGTCTGATGGGAAGCGGGGGTCTATCTGGTCTCACTCCTTTCTGCCTGATGAGAAGGGGTCTTTCTCCTTCCTGTCTCATGGGACGTGGTCTTTCACCTTCGGAGATTCCCCCACGCATCTGAAACGCCTCGGTTTCCCTCTGGGTGAAGATGCCCACTAGGTGGTGCTGCACCCACGGCAAATGACCCCTTGGGATGCGTCTTTGTCCCCAGCCCTGGCTTTAGTCCCCGACAGCTACTTTCGGGATTTCATGGAAACCCCCGGGGAATGTCCGCAGCCAGTGCCGGCCCCCACCTGCAGGTGAGGGCAGGCTGGCTGGGCGCCATGAGAGGAGGCTCATCAGATGGGTCTGACGCGAGACCCCGGCTGTGTGGCCCTTTGTCCCGCAAAGGGCGGGAGCGCCCCGGGGCTTGCCTGCAGGTTCACTAGCTCGCCCCCCCTGAGCTGCAGCTGTCCCAGGCCGGGCGGAACCAAGCTGGGTCACACAGGCTGGGCTGGGCTGGGCTGGGCCTCTGCCCTTGGTGCCTGGGACAGTGACCTGAGAGCAGAAGGAGTGTCGTGGTGTTTCCCTTCCCTGGCCTTGACACGGCAGGTAAATGTGCATCGTTCTCCCAAGTCCCAGAGGTGAGGCAGAGTCACTGGGTTCCGTGTAGCCACGGCTGGAGAAGCCCGGGATGTCTTTTAGTTGGCAGGAGCGTGGGGACACCTGGTACTCAGGGCCAACTCCTGGCGGGCTCGGGACCGTACGGGCTTCTGGGGGTTGAAACCCGAGTTGGCTGTGTGAGGGGTCGGCACGCTGCCCCGCCTCCCCCCACCCCGCTGTCCTGTGTCTCTGGCCACGCAGCCAGAGAAGTTCCTCAGAGCATCAGCCTTGAGGGTTCGAAGCGGGTGTGTTTGCTTCCCTCCCCCAAAGGACACGGGGCTGATCGGGCTCAGTCAGGGTCTCGTGCCATGAGGAAGATGAGACGTGGGGTCGGTGACCGTGGGTCGGGGCTTGTGATGGGGCTTTCTGCTCAGTGCGGGCCTCATCAGGACAGCCAGCCCGAGGGACATATCAGAGTGGCCGCCGTCAGCAGCCTGTCTGTCTTGACTCTTGTCAGCCACGTCCTGTCCGAGCACGGGAAGATGACGGACACGGAGCGAGACCAGATAGACCAGGACGCGCAGACCTTCATGCAGACCTGCTCAGAGGCCATCCAGCAGCTGAGGACACAAGGTCGGGCCCCGCCCTGCCCCCCCCAAGGGCCAGGCTCCCCCTGGTGGCGTGCAGCAGCCTCTCCAGAGCCGGGTCTTGCCTGGGCAGCTGGACATCAAGTGGATGGCCCAGAGCAGAGTGCTGGAGCGGCCTTCACACATGCCCGGGGCCTCCAGGAGCAGCTGGAGAGAGAGAGTGTATGTGTGTGTGCGTGTGCGTGTGTGTATATGTGCATCTGCGTACACTTGTGAGCACACACACGTGCGCACAAGTGTGTGCGTGTGCATGGAGGCATATTCATGCGTGTATTCTTTGTGGTGCTTTGGGGTGGGATGGGTGCCACTTGGATGTGTCTGGAGAGGGTGTGAGCGTGTGAGGAAGCCCTCCCAAGCAGAGGCAGGCTCGGGCACCACGTGGCTCAGCCACGTGCCCAGGGGGACGGCACCAGCAGGCCGGCTCTCACGCCACTTTCACACTGAAGGGCTCAGCAAGCTGGTCACGTTTTTACCAAGGCGGGTGGACAGCACTAAGACCAGCAGGCATAGCCCTGTCTGGGACACTCCTGGCCTCTCAGGTCACCACTGGAAAGGAGGGAGAGAGAAGGGGAGGGAGGGAGGGCGGTGGGGGAGGGGGAGGGAGGGACGGAGAGAGAGAGAGAGAGAGAGAACGCTCAGGGTCTCGCACATGCCAGGCAGGCGCCCACCACTGCACTGTGCCCACAGCCCTGCTGGATGTTCCTGTTACGCGCGTGCACAAACACAGTGCTTCCACTGTCAGCGTTTCCTAAATCTCCCATTAGGAGGGCCCTCGCCTTAGCACCCACATCCCTCCGAGTGCAGGGCCCACCGGCATCCCTCCCTGAGGACAGCCACATCCCCCTGAGACAGCCTGACCCGCACCCTTGCCTTGCAGCCCACAAGGAGACGCACTCGCAGCAGGTGAGGGAACACCGCAGCGCCGTGCTGGACTTCGTGGAAGATTACCTCAAGAGTGCGTCCCTTCCCCTCTGTCCGTGGGGCGGCTCCCGCTGGCCGGGGCGTTGGGGCAGCCTCTGCCTGCCAGGCGTCCTGACGCGCTGTCCCCCGTGTCGTCGCAGGAGTGTGCAAGCTCTACTCGGAGCAGAGGGCCATCCGGGTGAAGCGCGTGGTGGACAAGAAGAGGCTGTGAGTGCCTGCGGGCTGGGCCCTGGGCACTGCTCCTTCCCTCTCCCCTCCCAGGGCGTCCGCTGCCCCTCCCACATGGCGTGTCCAGCGCGGTGGGCGCTGTGACCGTGCCCTCCTCCCATGCCCAGCACTGTGGGGTACCTGGGCTCCTCACGACCCTGTACCGCCCTCAGCCAGTGGCCCATCCGCTCCCAGGGCCCCCCAGTTCTCGCCCCAGCCCTGGGCACCTCTGTAGGCCTCCTTTCCCAGAGAGCATTCCAGACTGCTGCGTGTTTGTGACTGGCTGGAGGGTTCTCGGGGGCCAACCACGGGGCTCCTGTCCTGGCACACCCCAGGACTGTCCGGCCGCCTCGCCGATCCCTGGTGAGAGCTGAGGGAGCACGGCAGGGGCCCAGCCACACGTGACCAGCTGTGGATTGAGGGACTACACCATCTGGCTGAGTGCTGATGTCCCTGGGGAGGGGACACCCCTGATGACACAGGCTCGACTGTGGGGATGGTCTGGGGGGGTTGCCGTACTCACAGCCCAGAGACGTGATGCGCCCAGGGCAACTTGGCAGAGGCACCTGCCCGGCCGCCCTCCCCCAGGGTACTGGCCAGACAGGGTCACTGCACCGGACGCCGCAAGGGCAGCAGCCGGGGAGACAGCCCCGCCCTTGCTGGCTCTCTCCACCTCCCCCATACCAGATGTGGGTTGTCTGTTTCCCCTCTGCTGATGCCCTGCCACACCTGAGGCGTCCAGTCTCCCGGCCCCGTGTCCATGCATCCCAGCAGTGCCGGGTCTCGACCACCCCAGGCCCTACTCCTGCTCCATCCTCTGCTCCCTGCGCTGCCTCTGCAGAGGGGCAGCCTGACTGGGCCACTTTGCTGGGGGGGGGGGGGTGCAGCGCGCTGAGTCTCGGGGTGTGCGGCTCGTGACCCCTTGCTGTGACAGTGTGGGTCCCGCGCATCTCGCCCCACGGATGCTGCTGCTGCGCTCTGTGCTCGCACTGATGGGGGTCATCTGGTGCCCTGGTGGTCCCCACGCACCCACCCGCAGCCCTGGCCGGCCCCTTTGCTGGCACCTAGAAGCCAGCGTGCCTTGGCGCACTCTCAGCAGGCACACTCCAGCACTGGTCTCCATCCGCGGTCACCCGGCAGGAAGCCCCGGTCCAGCGTGTGCAGGGCAGGGTGAGGGCCCCACCTGGGTCCCCTGTGCAGAGAGCCTGCCTCCTGGCATACCCCAGCTTCCTGGCTGGCCAGAGTGGGGCACATCGGGCAGGGGATTGGTGAAGCAGTGGGTGGAGGCCTCCAGCCTTGCAATAGGGCCAGCTGGCCTGGTCAGGAGCCCCTCTGTCTGCAGAGGAGGTCTTAGGGGTGCGGGAGTCTGGGGCCGCCACTGATGTCCAGCCGATTCTCTGTCTTAGGTCCAGGCTGGAACCGGAGCCAAATGCAAAGACACGGGAGAGCGCGTCCTCTGAGTCAGTGTCCCTGAGCCCCTCCAAGGACCCTGACGAGAAGGCTGTGGTGGGGGAAGGCCCAGCGAGCCCGGGTAAGCTGCCCTCCCGCCCTTGCCCCTTGCCCGCGGCTCTGACCACCACAGCTCATGGCACAGCTCTGCCCAGGTCGTGCCCTCCCCAGCTTGCTTCTCGGGTGGACGCGTAAGACAGGGAGCAGGAAGGCTAGAGGTTGGCCAGAGGGGGGCTCGTGGACAGGTCAGGGGTGGCGGAGGGGCCTGGGTCGTGAGCAGCTTGGCCGATGCTGGTAGGTGGTGGAAGGGAGCAGGCCCGAGGGGATGGAGGGACGGTGAGAGAAGGTGCATGGGTGAGCGGAGGTAGGGAGGAGTGGGTGGACAGCGAGCTGCTGGAGGGTGGGTGGAGGGTCGAGGATCACCCGAGTTGGCCTGAACAGCAGGTCTGCCTGTGGCTGGCAGTGAGAGGCGGGGGCAGGGCTGAGGGGACAGGACATGGAGACTTCTTGGGGTGGGGCGGGCAGGGCCAGCTCAGCGGGTGCTGCCCCACTCCCCCTGGGTCCCCAAGCGCCGCTGAGAGAGACTTCAGGACAGGAGTCCCGTGCACCCATTGGGTGTGGCCTAGACACAAGAGAAATCGTGTTTTGGGGGGTGCTTCCAGGCAGTGCTCAGGCACTCCAGGGCCACCAGGCTCAACGTCAGGCCCGCACTAGCCTGTGCTGGGGCCCCAGGGCCACCCCCACCAATTCAGGGGACTGCAAGGCCGGGATCTCACTTGCGGATCCAACGTGTGCTCCCGCCCGGGGGTGGTGCTCCCAACCCCACACGTGTGCTCCCATCCGGGGATCTCACTTCTGGCTCACACGTGTGCTCCTGCCCATGGATAGGGCTCCCGGACCCTCACACATGCTCCCGCCCAGCGATGATGCTCCCACCCGGGGATAGTGCTCCCAGTCCCACATGCGTGCTCCCGCCTGGGGATCTTGCTTCTGACCCACATGTGTGCTCCTACTCCGGGATCTCGCTCCTGGCCTACATGTGTGCTCCTACCCAGGGGTAGTGCTCCCTGCTCCACATGCGTGCTCCTGCCTGGGGATCTCGCTCCAGGCCTACACGTGTGCTCCTACCTGGGAATTTTGCTCCCAGCCCACGTGCGTTTTACCCGGGGATAGTGCTCCCGCTTGCAAGTGTGTCCCCAACCCCCCAAAACTGCTACTTTCAAACTCGTAGCATGTAGTGGGAGGGCTGAGTATGTTTCCACGTGGCCCTGAGTGCCGACCACACTTGCACCCTGTTTTCCCTGCACCTGGAGCAGGCGTGCTCCTGTCCCACCAGCTTCAAGCTGGGGACTTGGGGACTTGGGGCTTCTGCCTGGCAGTGGGCTGTGCTCAGCTACAGGAGAACCCGCAAGGTGAGTAGAAAGGCCATGGCGGGTCTGTTTGGCGTTGGCACCCTGCTGCCATGCTCAAAGGCCCAGGCGTGGGGAGCCAGACCCCAGCATGTGGGGGGACAGGGACACTGGGGAGGGATTGGTGTTGAGACGCTGTGCGGGGCACGTGACAAAACATGGGCGTGAGGTACACACAGACACACACAGACAAATAGGTGCACACAGGCACGCACAGACAAACAGGCACACACAGGCACACAGGCAGAGACACAGGCACACACACAGACATACACACAAGCATTCGGGAGGAACAAGTGGCTGAGCGTGAGCATGCCCCCAGACACTCACCGGTGCAGAGCTGGGAGATTCGGTTCCAGCTCCGTGTGTGTGTGTGTGTGTGTGTGTGTGTGTGTGTTTGTGCGCGCACGCGCGCATGCACACGCATGCACACTCCCACCCACACCTCAAAACTACCTCTTCCAAAACGAATAGCTTTCCTTGTTTCTTTTTAAACAGAAAAGCTTCCAGCTGAAGCTCAGCCTGAGTTGGGGACGTGGGCCGATGGCAGGGCTGAAGACGAACTGTCCCCAGAAGAAATCCAGATGGTAACCCCGCTCTCTGCCGCCTCTGCTCTCTTCCCTTGGCCTCCGATTCCTAGCTCGCTCGCGTCCCCTCTTCAGTTTGGAGCAGCAATTCAGGGCGAGATTGCCCTGAAGTGGCCTTACTGACCATGCCTACTCACCCCCGCACGTCCTGTCCTCTGCTTTCGACCCAGGCGACAGTCCTGGACATGGGGGGCAGTTGGGGGTGCTGCATGGGGCTGCTGAGACCCCAATGGTGGTCCCATTTCTTCCAGTTCGAGCAGGAGAACCAGCGCCTTGTGGGAGAGATGAACAGCCTCTTTGACGAAGTGAGGTCAGTGTGCAGGCTGGCCAGGCGCCTGGCCTGTTTGGGTGGGGCTGGACCCATCTGCACTCCCCACCAGGCTGCAGGACTGGCGAGCAGTGTGTGCAAGGCAGGGGCGTGACTTCCTGTGCCCCCTCCCTGCCTGAAGCTGCCCCTCCCTTCTGCCCCCGTCTGGGCACCCCCACATCCCAGCTGACATGGATCTTTCCCCAAAGGCAAATCGAAGGGAAGGTGGTGGAGATCTCCAGGCTGCAGGAGATGTTCACTGAGAAGGTTCTGCAGCAGGTGAGGGGCTGGTGCCCGCCGGGCCAGCGAGACTGAGCCTCTGGGGGCCACTGGCCGAGGGGAGGGACCCCAGGCCGACGCAGGGCGCAGCCCAGGCTCCGAGGGCTGTCCATCTGCCCATCTGCGCCCCTCTCCCACAGGAAGCCGAGATTGACAGCATCCACCAGCTGGTGGTCGGGGCCACAGAGAACATCAAAGAGGGCAACGAGGACATCCGTGAGGTAGGTGCAGCAGCCCGGCCCCTCCCCTTCACCCTCTGGACTGTGGGAGCCACTCTGAGACCAGGAGTCCCGGGGCCCAGAGCAGCCCCTCTCCGAGCCCCTCGCTGAGCCTGCACTCCGCCCCCAGGCCATCAAGAACAATGCTGGCTTCCGTGTGTGGGTCCTCTTCTTCCTCGTCATGTGCTCCTTCTCGCTGCTCTTCCTCGACTGGTACGACAGCTAGAGCCACAGGACGGTGCCCGGGGACAGTGCAGTGGCACCTCCAGGTGCTGGCCCGCCTGCGTGTGGCCGAGGGACCCTTGGGGCTGGAGGCAGCTCCCAGCCCTGCCTGCAGGCGCAGCAGGCGTCCAGGGGACAGTTGTGGGCGCCATCCTCCCCCCTCCAGTGGGGACATGCAGGGCTGGGCGAGGAGCCCCTGACCGGCCTCTCCTGGAACCACTGCCCTGACTCTGCCTCAGTCCCCGCCCAGGCTTGGAGCAGCCCCTGGAAGGGGCCTGGGAGGCCGCGAGCTACGGACACTCGTGAGCAGGCACCGGCGATTAATAAAGTCCTCATGCCAGCACTGAGCGTGGCGTGGCTTTGTGGGGGAGCAGCACGAGCACGGTGGGTCCCCATCCCGGCTTTCTGTGCCCCAAACCATGGTCCACAAGGTCACAGGGGTCTCACCCAGACCCCAGCTCACGGCATCTCACACGAGTCATTCGTTTATTTTTCATCTACTGAGAACAGTGAGACCTGGGACAGACCCCCCCGGAAACAACACATTCAAATGACATGAAGAGATGCGAGCGCCTGACCCGCCACGTGAGGCAGGAGAGGGGTCGCGGGAGCTGCAGCCGCCTCCCCAGCCCCCCCAAGCAGGACTCCAAACCAGCCAGCTGAGAACGGGGAACCGACTCCTAACAGGAATGGCGGGGCCCCTCCCCTCCCACCCTCCCCTCCGAGCAAAGACACTACAGGGGCCGGGCCGACCCAACATCCTTCCCCACCCCCCGGACACCTCCAGGGACAGCCCAAGGACCAGGTTATATGTCACCTAGGAGGGGGCTGGCGGCCTTCCCTGGGAGCTGGGCAAGGAGAACCACCAGCACCCAGCCATAGCCGCTGGTTTGGGACTTGAAAAGATGGAGGGTGCACACAGGCCTAGCATGTCGGGGCCCTGGCTTGTGTCGGCCGCCAGCACCTGCATCCCCCTGGCATGAAGCTGAGTGCAGGCTCCCGCCCCCGGGAGGGGTCACATGTCAGGCCCTGCCGACATGCGCGGGGGAGGGCAGCCGCAGGCGCGAGCAGCTTGGCTATTTGCAAAGCAGTGTCGGCGGACAAGCGATGGGCAGATGAGGGACCATTTCTAAGGAAGGGGCAGCCGGCCTGCGCTAGGCTGACTTCTCGGCGGCTTCCGTCTCCTGCTCCGACAGCTTCTCCTCCGACAGCACCGACATCCAGGGGGAAACGGCCCGGGTGACGCTCTGCTTGGCCAGGCTGCGGTGGTTGACGACCGTGTAGAGCTTCTCACGCACGCTTGCACCCTGCTCCGTGTAGTAGCTCTCCAGGCCCTCGGGGATGCACTGCGTGTTCTGGAAGGAACAGGGCACTGGGTGCTGAGGGATGCCTGAATCGGCTCCCCCAGCACCTGGCCCAGCCACACGCAGCCCGGCTCAGGTCTGGAAACTCCAAGCCGATGAGGCACGAAGCGAAGCAGCAGCAACCACTGGCTCCCGCGCCGAGATCCCAGCCCAGGGTCACCCCAGAGGCACATGGAGCTGGGGCGACGCCCACCCCTACAGATGCCCCTCCCCCCCCCCCACACACAGCCTACAGCTGCACCACATCCCCGTTCACTCCACAGCTGCCCACAGCCCCAGGTGATTTTCACTGTAACACCAGCGGCAGGAGTGTAAATGTGGACAGAGCTTGTTCCTGAGCTGAGGACAGGGGCATGTCCCGCAGGAAGGGGTGAGACCCTGGGAGCAGGAGGGTGGGCTGTGGCCTCATCTCTGCAAGCACTGTCGGGGCTCCAGAGGCAGGCCGGCAGGAAGGTGGGCACACCCTGCCCGGGGCTAACGGGAGAAGCCATGCCAGGACCCCCTTGCCATGGGTGGGGGCACCCTGTGCCAGCTCGGGGCCTCCCTCCCCGCAGCTCAGCCCCTGCCAGCTCCTGACCAGGCTCCAGCCCTGGCACACAGCAGCTGGGAGGCCGCAGGGAGGAAGGGACACGGGCAGCAGGGCAGCGGGCACCACGGCTCCCGGCAGCCTGGCCCCACCTGCCTCAGCCCTGCTCGCCCTCTCACCCTTGTGTTGACCCCCTGGGTGGGTGCACCTGGGTGTGCGTATGTGTGTGTGTGCGTGCATCCAGGTGCAAGGCACATGGCTGCTACATCCCTCCTCTGGGCCAAGCCCCGCCCCTTTCTGGGCCTGTTTCCCCCCGGGGAGAGAAGGGCCTGACATACGACTTGTCCCTGCAGGTCGCACTACCCCCCCCCCCCCGCCCCCGCCCAACACACACAGGGACCCTCATCTCAGAGCTGCCTGCATGGGGCTCGTCCCCAGGGTCCACTGCCCATCCCACTGCCCATGCTCCGCCCACCCCTGGGGCCTACCCCCTCCACCTCCTCCCCCCCCCCCCCACCTGTCCCTGCAGCGGGCTGCACTCACCCTGAGGACAAAGCCGTCGGGGCAGGTGCGGTCGTACTTGTACACCTTGTAGACAACCAGGAAGACCACGCAGGTGAGGAAGGCCAGGGCAAAGAGGACCAGCACGGACACCTGCAGGCAGAGCGATGTTCATGCGGTGGGATGAGGGCCCCAGCCACGTCCTTGTGGCTAGCCTGTGGCCGTCTGCCGCTCTGGACAGATGCGTCAGCCACATACGGACTCACTGCTGCCACGGCCCCTGGGCCTCTTCCGCTGCCGGGGCTCCCCGCTCCCCACCTGGCCCTTCACAGCCTCGGCATCCCCATCCCCCATCCTCTTGCCCAGCTCCCATTCGACCCCCATGGCCCGCCCTTCTCTGGCCTTCCTCCTGCTGTCCCTGTCTCCTGCCCAGGCTCCACCACTCCGTGACCCCCACCCAGCACTGGGGGACCAGGTATAGCCCCCCACATGCAGATGGGGAGCCGCACTCTGGTCCTGGGAGGCTGGGACAGCACGAGGAGGGCCAGCCAGAGGGTGAGGGTGCCCAGGGCAGGCCCTTCCAGTCAGCCTGGGAGCTGGGCTCTGGGGGTGTACTGAGCCACCCAGGGAGGGGAGAGGACTGTGCTCTCAGGCCAGGAACGGTTGTTCTCACGCTGACACCACTAGCATTCCCCACCGCACTCAGACCATACCACTCGCACAGCAGAGCCCTCAGCCCAGGCCAGCATCCCCAGTCACACACTCCGTTAGGTGTCTGGGTATTGCCACAGTAGCATCTGAGTATTGTCTAATTACTGTCCAGATACTATCTGGGTGATGTCCAGGCACCATCAGGGAGCTGTCTGGGTATTGCCCAGGTAACATCTGGGTATCATCCAGGTATCATGAAGGTACTACCGTCTGGGTACCATCCAGGAACCATGCAGTTACTACTGTCTGGATACCATCCCAGGTACCATACAGTACTATGGGTACTATGAAGGTACCATGCAGGTTCCACTGTCTGGGTACCATCCAGGTACCATGCGGGTTCCATTAGCCAGGTACCATGCGGGTTCTACTGACTGGGTACCATCCGGGTACCATGCAGGTACTACTGACCCGGTAATGTCCAGGTACCATCCAGGTACCACCTAGATATCATTAGACACATTCAGGTACACCAGCCTGTTCCACACTCACCCCAGCTGCCTGCTGGTGGCATCTAGGAAGGGCCAAGGCAGTGCTGGGACTGACCCCACATCAGACTAGCAGGACTGCAATTAACAGGCCCGACCTCCTTCCCACCCCTCTGCAGTTCACTAGGGGGAGTTTGACTCTAAGAGAAGGTCCGTGACACATGAAAGGTTAGGAAGCACTGTCAGACTATAATCTCAACAAGCATTAGCAAAATGAATTTCACAATGACCAAAGGGACCAGACACCACCATTGTGGACTTGTCCCCAGAATGCAAGGATGGTTCAACGTCCAAAGACCAATATGAGGGCCGAGAGACAGTGTGAGGGGGTGGCGCATGCAAGAGACCTGGCTTCCACCCCAGCACTGCATGGCCCCCTGAGCACCCCCAAGATATAAAAGTGTCACACATACCTATGACATCACCAAAATCACAGCAGAAATGGAAACACAGAAAATATGTTTGACAAAACAACATCCATTTGTGACTTTCAAGTGACCAGAGTACATCTAGAGAAATGACATCGGGTCATAAGCAAAAAGCTGGCGTCCTCTCAGCACTAAGAAGCCAAAGGTTGATCTCTAAGATCAGGAGCTCAGCCATGCCTACACCTGCCACCCTGATTTGGTGTAGCAGTGGATTCCAGCCTGCAGACCAGCACTGGCCCCTCCAAGGTGGTCGGAAAATGCCAGCCAGAGCCAGCCAGCAAGAGAAAGGAGTGACCACTGCAGGCTGCCATGAGTACAAACACTGCCCAAAAGACCTGCTACATGAACTCAGTAAAGTTTATCCTAATCAAATACAAACCACGAAAATCAGATGTAGGTCCAGAACAAATAACCACCAGGTACAATAATCCCCCCCACGTAAACTGCTTTAGAAATAATAATATACCTCGGAGTGAATTTATCCAAGGAGTGTATACCAAAAAGTGTATGTCAAAAGTGAGAGATATTTCATGAAAGAAGCAGAAGACACAAAAATTCTGTGCTCACAGATCAGAGTTCATGTTGTTAAAAGGACTGGATTATCTAACGCAATCTATACTTGGTGTGCTATCAAAATGACAATGACATTTTCCACAAAAATTTTTTAAAAACTGCTAAAAACAGCACCACAAAATGCTAGAAAGATAACAATCTCGAGAAGAACAATGCTCAAGTTCTGCTTCCTGAACTTCAAATGTAACACAAAATTATAATCATCCGAACCATTTGGTTCTACAAGGAAAAGACAATTTAGGACAGAATTGAGAACCCAGAAATAAACTCATGTTCTGGTGGCCCGTCTCCAGGTGAGCTAAGGCCACAGTGGGGCCGGGCCTGGCCACACTTGCTGCTGGGAAGTGGTATCACGTGCAGAAACGTAAAACAGACTTGGAAGACCCGGAAACAGCCAGTCCGTGAGGAAAACAAGGGGTTAAGCCTTAGGGCTGACACCAGAACTGAAACCACAAATGCCAACAATCTGATGCAGCAAGAGCATCGAATCTAAAAGAAAACAAGTGAGAAGGGCCTGACCAATCAAGCCAGCTGTGAACGAAGCAACACAACAGCAAAGTGAACGCTGGTCAAAGACCTGAACAGGCGCGCGCGCACACACACACACACACACACACACACACAGCCAGCAGGTACAGGCAGGCGCTCATCATCTACTCAGAACCCTATGGAGAGGGCACCCTAACCCTCGGACAGCAGCATTAGCAGGAATGAGGGCCGGGCCACAGGGGACCTGGGGGCCTTCCCTGGCACCACAGGGGCTCCCGAGCACAGAGTGGGGAGTAGCCTCTGAGGACTGAGGTATGGCCCCCCAAAACAAAAAGAAGTGGCGGTGGAGAGAAGGGCATTGTGTGGGTGGGACTGGCAGCTGGGCAGCCATGGTGGACATGGAGCCCATTATTCCAGATCACTCAGGAAACAACTGCTGTATGACTTGGCCGTCCTGCTTCTGGGGGTTCATCAGAGAAATGTAAATGCTGATCTGAGAAGACCTATGGCTTGCCCTGGTCACTGCAGCCGCATTTGTAATAGCCACATGACACAAGCTAGGCAAACTTCGGTGGGTGAATGATAAAGAAAATGTGGAGATAAAGGGGGACTGGAACATTACTCAGCCAGGAAAAGGATGTGGAGCATTTGCAACAATGTGGACAACCTTCATGCTACATGATTACCCATCAGGGAGAGGCAAACACTGCAGGAGCTCAGTTACAAGTGAAGCACTAACACCCCAAACCCAGTCCCAGCACAGACAAGTGGCTTTAGGGATGGGGGCTGGCTGGGGGTGGACAAGATGGGTAAAAGGGGTCAGAGTACAGACACTGTGAGCCCGGGTAGCGCTGCTGTTCCTGGCACGGGTGTGTGGCTCCTGAAGTGACAGCAGATGGTGCGAATGCGTCAACACACACATGTAAGAGTCACCCGGGAGCTGGGAAGGGGCAGGACGAGGCCCTGGGCCCCACACTCCTCCTGCGACAGAACCCCCAGGGACTCATAGGAGCTCTATGCCCTTGCATGTCCTTGTCCTCTGGTGTCAACCCGGGTTCTGCCAGGTGGTGTTACATCATCGAAAGGAAGAACGACAAAGGAGAAAGGCAGGTAGAGTACACAGGCAGATGAGGGAGGCTTCTAGGAGGTGGTGTCTGCAGTGCATCGGGCAAGTGCAAGGGACATGGACATGGGAGTGTGAGGGGACCATCCGCTCAGGTCATTGGGCCATTAACAATTTAACTTTCCAGGGCGGATGCTGGCCTGGCTTGCAGCGAGCACCATTCATCCCCGTCCATCCCCAGCACCATCTGATCCCTGAGCCCCACTAGGGGTGGCCCAAACAACCTAAATTAAACTCAATCTAAATGTTCGGGGGTGACCCCAACTCTCGAGCCCCCGTATTCTTTCTGACTGTCCCGTGGGGGCCTGCAGTGGGGGCAGTGCCCAGGGCCCAGGAAGGGCCTTCGCCCTAGCCAACTGGACATGGGGGACAGCGTGTCTGGTCTGGGGGACCCCGCCTAGCAGTGCCCAGGCCACTCCCGATGGTGCGTGGGGGACAGCACAGGGGTCTGACTCTTGCTTCCACCTTGATGGGCGTCATGACCCCTGGCCCTGGCCCCAACTTCTCAGGGCAGACCCCGAGAGTCCCTGACGCCTGCTGCCGCTGACACAGCCCCCCACTACATCGGTGTGCAGAGGGAAGGAGCTTTCTGCTGAGTCGGGGCTGCCCCCTGAGCTTCCCTGCCTCGGGGGCCCCACTTGAGGCCCACAGGAACCTGAACACTACAGCCTCTGCAAAATGCTGGGCTGAATGTCACAGGGACTCCAAGGGCATCTCTGGGGCCCCCAGCTCTGCCCACCCCAGATGCCACCAGCCTTGAGGCAGCAGAGGCGGGGCCCAAGGGCCTAGGACAACACATGAATATTTAACAGGCCCCTCCTGAGTGACGTAGCCGGTTCCAGGCAGCCCAAGGTCCCTGCAGGACAGGGCGGGAGAGAAGGACACAGGCCTCAGCATCACGCTGGGGCTGCCATGACCCCGTGGTCACACCCAGCAGAGGCTCCTCCAACCCGGCTCTGATGAGCAGTTGCATGAGGCCGACCTTGGCTCCAAGGCCTCAGCCCAAGCCGACTGGGCCACAGAAGGTTCCTAAGCCCCTGCTTGGTCCTAAAGCAGCCTGGGTGCTGATGGGAAAGTCCTTAAGCGTGTGCGTGATGATGCTTCTGCATCCTGAGCGGGGGATGGAGGGGCAGCCCCAGGGGGTAGCGCCCTGTCCACACATGCTTCTCGGCAGCTGGTCTGTGGTGGCGACACCCTCCAGTTAACCAAGACCTCTCGGGAAACTGAGACTGGGGATCATGGTTAGAGGAGGTGGCATGGGGGGGGCCCTCTGGGACACCAGAGCCAAGAGTCGGCTGTTGCCTAGCAACCCGCCTAGCAACCGCAGCCCAGGTGATCTCTGAGTCACATCCTCGAGGACCCAGGGCACCCCACCCCAGCCCCTGGGGCCTTCTCGGAGCCTGTGCGACTGAGTTACAGCCCTTGCTCAGGTCATGCAGACACGGGCTGCCCCAGACAGCAGGGCACCCTGGGCAGGATGAGGAAGATGCTCCATGTGCTCCTTTGAGCCCCTGCTGGTGGGGGGCCCGCCATTCCCGAGGCGCAGGCAGAGACCCTCCAGCGTGCCTCTCTGGAGACACTAGGGTCGCGAGGTCCTAATGCAGGAGGCCCCATGTGCACCCCCAGAGAGATGGGGGCCCTTCCCCACCCAGCAGGGCCTCCAGGCGAGGGTGAGAGCTTCCACAGAGCAAGGGCCACTCAGGTCCAGCCACTGTCCCCCACTGACCCTGTGACCCTGTCCCGCATGGGGCAGGGGCAGCCCCAGGTCCAGAAACAGGGTCCAGCTCACGGCCCCTGGACTCAGACTGAGCCTGGTCAGCCACTGAGGACCAAAGGGGAAGTGAGGCCTTCATGGGTACGTTCTGCATCTGCTGACCCCCCCAGCCCCTGTGCCAACTCTGGGCGAGGGCCACCCCACTTATGCTGTCGGGACACCTGCTCCTCCGAGCAGGACACAAAGGCCAGACTCTGGGCGTCCAAGCAAGCCTGGATATGGACCTGCTACTGGGTGCTCCCGGAGTCAGGTGAAGGTCATGGCACCACCCCGCAGGGCGGCTGAGGGCCTCTGGAAACCTGTCTCCAGGAGGAGCCTGGGCCTCGGTTTCCCTAGGGCAGGCCTCCAGAAGGGTTATGTAAGGTGAGCTGGCTGTGATTGGGTCACAGCCAGCTCACCTTCGGGAGGGGATCCCAGGGGACTTTCTGGAGGAGGTGATGCCAGAACTGGCCCTGGAGGGAACAGGAAGGGGTGGGGGCAGGGGACAGCTGCAAGGGGACCCTGGTCAGTGAGGACAGAAGACAAGGGGGGAGCACCCAAACCCCCTAGGACAGCACCAGGAGTGCAAGACCCTCATCTGGAGGAGGTCTCCTCAGACAGAGGCAGAGGCTAAGAACGCGGGCACAGAGGGTCCACGGGGAGAAATGGGAGGGGGGAGTAGGTGCAGGCTCTGGGCAGGGGCTCCACCCCTAGGCTCCTGCAGTGATCATGGTGACCAGACAATCAGTGCCGCCCCGTCCCCAGAGCCTTGTTGGGGACCAGAGGAGCAGTGCCTGGGGACCTAGCTGCATGCGGGGGTGGGGCCGAGGTGGGGGCGGGGCCTCGATGGGGGTGGGGTGAGCTCAGTGACTCCCCAGGCACCTCCCACACACCTGAGCACCAACGGGCCAGGCAGGTGGGACCCTTGCGCATCACAGCAGGACCCACGTGGCCACGGGTAAGTCCACGAGATATGGAGGTCCCGGACCACCATGTGGGACCCAGGCCTGGACAGGGCAGGCGGGGAGAGCAGCTGAGGAGGCCACAGGCTGTGGCACAGGACACCCGGGGGCCGTCACTGTGCACCCATGGGACTCCTGCCTGAGCGCACACATGCCCCTAGGGGTGAAGCGGGTGGCTCAGATGCACACACATACACACCAGACAGAGCCCCAGGAAGGAGGCTCTGCCCAGTTCCCCCAGTTATCACCACCTCCAGAGGGTCCACCAAGATTCCCCAGGACATACAAACAGACAAAGGGGGCGTGGGAACTGCAGGGTGCACAACACCCCCAACACACAGGGAGATGACATTGGCCAAGGCCGCGCCCCGGGGTTCCCTTTAGGATCTGGGGGAGCACCAGTCTCTTGAGTCCGGCTTCACTACCCAAACTGGGAGCTGCAGCTCTCCACCCCCGGGTTCCTGCTCGGGTTCCCGCCGGATCTTCCTGGGAGGCCAGGAGCGAGCACAAGCGCGGAGATGCGCCCCACCACCCCCAAGCCAGTAACGGAGATACCATCCCCCCACAGCTCGGGCCTGAACTGTCACACCAGGTATCACACGGGCTCCCCAAGCACCCCCAGCTGAACATGCATGTCAGCTGGGATGTGGCCCCCGGGGTCAGCAGTCCCACACCGCCCTCACCTTGAACCTCTCACTGACGCCCCGGCTGACGCTGACCGAGAACTCGGCGATGTGGGGCGGCCTGGCTTTGCCCTTCTTGCGCTCCGGCTCGTACTCCGTCTTGGTTTTCACCACCACCTGCAGTGGGGAGGGGGTGTCAGCGGGCGGACGGGATGGGCTGTGGTGAAGCCCCCCCAGCTGGGGTCTCCACACGGCTGGGAAGCACATTAAGCCCCCCGCTATCATCCTGGTGGGAGAGGAGAGACGGGAGCCCCGGGCTGGGCCCTTCTGTGGGACCTTTAGATGCTGGGGGTCTGTCCCACTCTGCCGTGCTCCCCACTTGCCCTGCCCCCCAGGTGTCCCCATCCACTCAGCCGCAGACTCTTCCTCCCTAGTCCCTCCCCACCCCACCCCCCACATTTGGACCCTGAGTTCTCTGCTGCACACAGGGTGCCCAGGCCGGTGGCCCGGAGTTTGGGGGAGACAGAGTTTGGAGGCTGCGTGCGATGGGGGACCTAGGAGCAGGAGAGGTGCGCAGCGGGGGGGAGGGGTGGGCAGCAGGCAGAGCTAAGATCCCGCCAAACAGCCTGGGGAGAGGGGCAACGCTGGGTGTCACTCCACAGGGACCCCGGGTGTCCTCAGATACACTCCTGCCTTCCCATCTGCTCTGTGCAGCCTGACCCCTGCACCCCACACCCATACCCCTGACCCCTGGCCCCCACACCCTGAACCCCATCCTGCCCCAGCCCAGTCAGCTGTGACCTTGAGCAGCTGCTGGAACCTCAGGGTTCCGAGCATGCAAGAGGTGGCAGGGAGTCCCCAGCACCCCGGGAAGGGCCAGTGTCCTCGGCAAGCACTGTACCCCAATCCCACATCTGCAACGTGGGGAGGGGGGAGGGGCATGCAGCCGCCCTGGCCACAGCCTAGGAGGGCCCCTGACCGCCTGCAGGGGATGGAGGCCCGCTGAGACTCCTCCCCAAACCCACAGGGGCTGGGCGCACTGGTTTGGCTGAGGGTCCCCGAGGAGCCGGCCCAGGCTCTGCTGTGGACATTGCGGGGGTCACTTGGAGGCCCAGGAAGGGGTGAGCTCAGCACCACCACGGGGCAGCAGGAAAACGCGCTGGTGACCTTGGCACATGGACGCCGCAGCCAGCCTCTCCTGCGAGCCCGCGGCCTCGGCCTCCCACTTTCTGGTCGCGCCCCGCCGACAGGAACATCCAGGACCCCTAGGTCCGGCCAGGCCGAGTGTCGGGGATCCCTGGGGCCCTCCGCAGGGGTGCCCAGGGGCCATGCACAACCCACAAAGCCTGAGCCGGGCGCGGCCAGGGGCGGCAGCGGCGGGGCGGGGGCCCGAGGTCGCCGCGGGGAGCCGCGTCCGCCTTGCTGGGGGCCAGAGCGGGAGAAACGGCGGGGCGGGGGCGGCGGTCTCGGAAGCGGGGGCTGCGGGCCCGGGAGCGGCTCCTGGCCTAGGTCGCGGGGCTGGGGCGCGGCCGCAGGGGTCCCTCACCTTGTCCGGGGGCGGGAACTGCAGCTGGCTGGCATCGAGCGGCGTCATGAGCGGGATGGTGTCGAAGCCATCCTCCAGCAGCGGCTGCTTGGCGCCCTTCTCCGCGAAGCTGCCCCCCAACTTCACCATCGTGCCGGGCCCCGAGGCTGCGCCTGCGGGCCGAGGGCGGGCGCGGCGGGTGGTGCTCGGCCCGGGCCCGGACAAAGCGCGCAGGGCGGGGGGCGCCGCCCTGCTCGGCCCCGCGCCCCGCCCGCGCGCTCCCCGCTGCGCCCCCCGCGCCCCCCGCGCCCGCAGCCCCCGCGCCCCGCGCCCGCGCCCGCGCCCGCGCTCACCCTGCCCGCCCGCAGTCCGCGCGCTCCGTCGCCCGCGCAGCAATGGCCGAGGCGGCGCCCCCGCGCCCTCGCCGCGCTCCCGGGGGTTCCCGCGCGCGGCCGCCGTGCGTGCGCCCCGCCTTGACGCAGCGCGCGGGAGCGCACAAAGGGCCCCCGCCCCCGGGACCCCGCGCGGGGCTCGCTGCGGACGGGAGGGGAGGGGGGCGCGCGCCGCGCAGGCCTGGGCGGAGGAGACCGACGCCCCCAGACCCGAGGCGGGGAGCGAGCCCCGAAACCCAGCGCGGACCCGCAGCCGCGCGCAACCGGGAGCGGGGGACCCTGGGATGACAACAATAAGAGGGCGCGCGGTGCGGCTGGAGGTGACTGGGGAGGAGGAGAGGGAGGAGGTATTTGCGCGCAGAGCACCTGCAGGGGGAGGGGGAGAAGGGCGGAGAGCCCTCCCCCAGTCCCACTTGTCTTGCCTGCGGGGCGCCGCAGTGGGGTCCCTGGGCCGCGATGGCAGCCACGGCGAAGGGGCAAGTGTCCTAGCCCTCGGGCACAGGGACAGCGGGGAGCCCACGGGTCTCCTCCACAGCTCCCTCGGAGGCCGGGAAAATCCTGCGGGCTTTCTGGATGAGGCCTTGGTCTCCTGGTGAGGAACAGGTCTGGGGAAGCTGCGCACAGAGGGAGGGGATCACCCCAGCGCATGGGGCTGTGTCACCAGGAGGAGGGGGCTTAGAGCAGCACCCAGGTGGAAGATGGGGGAGTAGGGCTCTCTGCACGGACTCTCCAGCCCCAGGCCCCCCCGAGTCCCTCTGACTCCCACAGGGTCTGTCAGCAGTCCAGGGGGAGATTCTCCCCAGGCCCCTAGAAGCAGTCTGCACAGGACTCAGGGGTCCCGAAGGGAGTGCACTGCAGACCTCCAGCCTAGGAGATGGGGTGAAGGGGCAACTGCAGGGGTGGGGGCGGGGTGTGGGCACCCAGCACAGGGGGCCACACAGTCCGCCCCCCTCCATCAAGACCCCTGCAGGGGAAGGAGGTTCAAACTGACTGTTTGGGGTCCAAGGTGACATATGGGGTGATGGTGCAACATGCTCGTGGCTCATGATCCCCCCATAAGCCAGTTACTCCGACATCAACACGTGGAGTAACAGACCTTTGTCCTGGAGACCCTGGACTGGCTCCGAGCACTCGCGGCACGGCTCCCCTGGCTGCCAAGTCAGTCTCTGAACCTGCTCCCCACCCCCCACCCCACTTGCCCATCCCTGCCTCCAGCAACCACCACCTCTGAGCTCCTCGTTGTGGAGTGTCCGGGTCCCTTGGCTGCATGACCCCGCCAGCCTGCCCCCACTGCCCCCAACAGTTCAGAGCCCAAATGCCGGACTTCATCCTGCTGCTGAGGCGCGGGCGGGCCCGTCTCCCTCCCCACCTCCCCGCTGGGTGGCTGCACAAAGGGCTTCATGTCTCCAGCCTCAGTTTCCCCTCCTGCAACATGGTGATAAGGAGAGAAACGGAACCTCCATCTGGCCGGCACTGTTGTGAGCCATTACCTAGAGGTTCGGGGTCGCCTCCTGCAGTGCTTGGGAGCCCCAGGGCCACTCCAGGCAATACTGGGCCACGCAGGGGCTCAGCCCGGCGCAGCACAAAGAGTCCAGCAGTGCTGGGGGAACTGGGGGCTCCCTACAACCCAGATGCCCCCCACGCTCCGCGCTGGCTGAGAACCGTTAAGCACTGTCATGGCGGCCGGAGAGAACAGGGATGAAGGTGCTGGCTTGCACACGCCAGACCAGGCTGTGGTCCCTGATGTCAGCATGGCATAGCTACCCCTAAGCAGCACCGGAGTGACCCTTGAACACAGCAGGGGAGGCCCCCCAAAAGTGAAGATAATCAAATGCTTCATGCTTTCACCCGGGTCCCACTTTGTGTTTTAGTCAGAGCAGAACACACTGCGGCCCTGGGCGCGGGCTTCGCATCAGTAGCTACATGGCAGGAGCACAGAGTGGGAGCACTTTAGAGTGGCCCCAAACTAAAATAAGCACTAAGAGCTCGTGGGGGGCATGGCGTAAGCGGAAGCGGCTCGTTGGTCTGGGGTGTGTCTCCAGGCAGCTCTGCCAGCCCCTCATGGCTTCCACTCACTGAATTTTAATCAGCCGCTTTCCAGACATGACCCTGGGCCTTGGGAAGGGCCGTGTGGCTGCCGGAGCGTTTCGCCTGCATTCAGCCTGTTTTCATCAGCAGCCTGGGGGCTCTCACTTGTCCGTGCTAGGGGCGTCAGCGGCCAGGCCTCACTGTCCTGGAAACATGGTGGACAATCCTCAGGGCCAGCTTGGGACCCCTCTGGCCTTTCCGGTTCATCTCTTCCTTCCTTCTACTTTGGGGCCAGAGCTAGCAGTGCCCAAGGGTGAATCTGGACTCCAGGGCTCCCCTGTGGTGCTCAGGGTTGCTCAGGCCCCCAGGCCCCCAGCACACTGAACGAGCACTCAGCAGCAGCGGGCTTTCTCCCTGTCCCTGCACCCACTCAAGAAGCACAGCTCGCTCAGGGCTCAGAATCGCTCCTTCTGGCGGCACAGGGCAATGCTGCCCACCAGCACCCCGGGACGCACCTTCTGGGTTGGCTGGCATTTCTGGAACTGCCTTTTATCAGGAATATTTAGAAGCATGGAGATTTCCCTCAGGCGTCCAGACGTCCTGCTGTCTCGGGAAACACAGATCAGCTTTTTCGGGATAAGGGGTCACACCCGCACCGCACATGCCTCCCCAACTCCCTGCATGGCTTGGCGCCTCACCACAGCAGCTGAGCCCCCTGAGCTCTACTCCAGCCTGTAACTTCTGCTGCGGGCAGGGAAACGGGCCAAGCAGAACGTTCCTGGGGCCAGGCATGGGGACAGGGAAGCACATGTGTCCAGCTGGGCCTGGGAGCTGGGTCAGCCATGGGCTACGGGATGAGGGTGGGGGGTAGGGAGGAGATGGAGGAGGGAGGGGGAGGAGGAGGAGACTAGAGCAGAAGTCCCGCAGTTGGGGGGATAAGGATGGCGGGGTTAGGATGGGGGCGGGAACGGGGACAGCCACTGGAAAACACACCTCGTGACTGTCTTCCTTCCTGTTTCCGGGGAGCCACTCCCAGTTGTGCTCAGGGGCCACGCAGTGCTGGAGCCCCTCAGCCAGACCCACACTCCAGCCCCTCATTAACCATTTTGAGAGGGACTGGGGCACCCCCAGCTGTGCTCAGGTATCACTCCTGCTGGTGCTCAGAGTGGACCTGAGTGGTACCGGGGATCGAACCAGGTTGGGCCGCAGGCACCAGTGCCCTTGCCACTGTACCATTACTCCTGCCCTTGGTGGGAGCATTTTAAAGATCATCTGCCTGGGGCTGGGGAGACAGTGCAAAGGGCAGGGGTCTGCCGAGAACAAGGCCCTGGGTTCGATCCCCTGGAGTCGCTCTGCCCCGTTTTGCTCTGGTTTGGGGGCAGCCGTGCCAGTGGTGAGAGGTGGGATCTTACAGAGGCCGAGTGCCGACGCTCGCCGCAGCTGGGATGGATGGGGTGGGGGCTCATGCTCCACTGAGGCCAGGCTGGAGCGGCCCTTTTCTGCGTTGGGCCGGAGGATGCCCCAGCTGCAGTGGCCGGGATCTGCCGGTGGCTTTGGTTGTCTTTACAGAATCGGCCACTTAAGTGACTGTGCTCCCTTGCCCCACGGTGGCTTTGCTGTGTATCGTGGTGTTCCCCCCTCTCCCCCTGCCAAGAAGTGTGGCCCGGAAGCTGAAGGAAGGAGCCTGGTTCTGCATTGCGGGTCCTCTCACTTCCTGGGGAGCCCCTGAGGGTGTCTGTGGGCAGTAGACCCTTCCTCGTATGGGGTGGGGGACCCGGCAGTGGGCCGGGGGTCCCTTTCCTCCTGGACAGCTGTGTTCTGGGTCAGGAGTGCCTGGGCAGCCTCTGCGCATGACTAGGGCCTAATTATACCTGAGCGACCTCATTTCCAAATAGAGCCACAAGCTGGGCCCTGGGGGCTGGCGGGCGGGGGGTTTCCACTTACGGATCTTTGTGGGACACAGGGCCTCACCGCATCCCCAAGGCCTACTGGCTCTTCTCGGGGTCAATGTTGCTACTGGCTTGGGCGCCCCAGAACCTTCTCTCTTCCCCCTCGGAGCCCCAATTCCCCCAGGGGCCACCCTAGGGCTGGGCCTTGACCTAGGGAGCTGGGGATCGCCCATATGCAGAACCCACACCAACCCCTGCGTCCTAGAATGTTCTAGATCATGTTCCTGTGTTTCTTGGGTCTGAACAGCAGAGAACATAGGAGCTCTCTGGCTCCCCTCCCCATGCCCCTCCACGCCAGTGGTCCTTGTCTCTCCTCCTCGGGCCTTGGGGGTCCCACTGAGCCCCTTAGACTCAAGGCTGGCAGGGGAGAGAAGGGTGAGGGGCCGCAACACAGCTGCTCTGCCCTTGTCAGTGACCCGGCGGTGACATGTCCCTGGCCAGGCCCCAAGGCATGAATAGGAGGAAGGGGCCTTTACGTGGCCCTCCCTAGGCGTGAGTGGATGCCCCCTCCCTGAAATATGGGCGCCTTGGAGGCTCCAGGGAGGGTGACGATCCCTGCCAGGTCAGGGATCTTTGTCTGCATGTGTGTGTATCTGTACATGTATGTGTGTCTGTGCACGCATGTGTGTTTGTGCATGTATGTGTGTGTATGTTGGGTGGGGGAGAGGCCACTGCTGGGCCGCTCGTGTCTGAGAATCGTGAGTCAATTCAGTCACAGGCTTACCTGGCTCCCCGCTCTCCTCAGGCCCCACGCCACCCCCTCGCTCTGTTCATGAACTGGACGGCACCCCTCCCCCCCATCCCAGGTGTCACTGTATTCAGAGCTAGGACTGGAAGGAATCAAGGCATACAGGCAAAAACGAGGTCACTGGGGTGACCGTGACCCAGTCCAGTCTGGCGGCTGTCCCATGGGATGACCCAGACACTGACACGCAGGGGGACAGCCATGTGAGAGTGTGCGGAAGAGGGCCACACATCAGGAGAGGGCCTCACTGGGGGTCCTAAGAGAACCAGCCCTGTGTTCCCTGGGCGCCCCTGGGGGACCGTGTGGAGCTGCCCACAGCCAGGCTCCCAGTAGGAAGGCAGAAGCGTGTCTCCCTGGAGACAAACCTTTCCTTTCAGATGTGTTCAAAATAATTTCCCAAGGCTGGAGGCGCAGGATAGCAGGGCGGGTGCTGGTATAGCACGCAGTCAGCCGAGGTTCGATCCCCAGCACCCCATGTGGTCCCCTGAGCACCGCCAGGAGTAATCTGAGTATCACCGGGCGTGGCCCCTGAACAAACAAACCAAACAGTAACTGGCTTTTGCTAGGATTTCAGGAAAAACAGTACAGGTCATTTGAAAAGAAGTGTCCCTGGCTTAGAGCCGGCTGCATCTCTGTGTGCCAGCTCTGAGCCAGACTGCTGGGTGTGAGGAGGGCAGCGGTGAGCAGGGGAAACTGAGTCAGGCACCCAGGGTTGCTGCGGGGCTGCTGAGCACTCACTCCCTTGGAAGTAGGTTTTCTCCCCTGAAACCAGGTTGGGCAGTGAGGACTGGACCCAGCTGCCTGTTGGGGTGACAAAGGCCCGGAGGAAGAAGGGCCGGAGCTCATCCAGCCTTTCTGGGGCTGCCTGTGGCTGGACCCGGCTATGCACTGTCCCGGAAGAGGTGGCAGGACCCAGCTGTGCCAGGTGTGCCAAGACTGCCGCGGGGAGTGTGGCGGCTGCGTCTGGGTCTGGGCAGCACTGTGCCAGCCCAGGGACCACCCAGTCAGCACTTGGCTCCCGCAGCAGGGTATGTGTGCATGTGTGTGCGTGTGTGCGTGCTGCTCCTGGGGCGGGCTCTCTTCCTGCCACATACAGTTGCCTTTTCGGCCCTGAGGGTGCCGCCGGCGTCTGGTGAGGACCGTTCTGTGGGATCACGGCCTCCCTTATGGCCTCACTTCACCTCACGGTGGTCTCCAGAGTCACTTTGGGTGTGAGTGGGGGTGGGGGCGGGCACACAAATCAGTGCCCATCCCGGTCTCTGCACAGAACTTAGCTCTTGGCTCTTCCTCGGGCCCACAACCCTGATCCTCTTCACCTGACCTCCAGGTCCTGTGCCGGATCCCCACAACAGGCCTTGGGCTGGGGCTCTGCAGCGCCTCCTGCAGGGCGCAGCGGGAATGCCATGGGCCAGGCGGCCTCAGCTCTGGCTCCAGAACCCTGAGAGCGCAGGGCGCCTGGCCAGGTGTGTCCTGACAGCAATGGGCTCTATTGCTACCTGGTGACTGGCAGAAAAGCAGCCGCAGAGTCCCTCGCCAACTTCAGGATACTTTGAGCCCCTGGCGCCAGGTCCGTCAGGCCATCCCCAGGCTGGGCTAACTTGGACCGAAGAGCTCACACAAGAGGGATTCATTCTCCCATGCCTCGCAGCAACAAACTTTTTAATTGTTTTGGACCGGGGAAGATGCTTAAGACCATTTTGCTAAGCGAAAAGGCAAAGAAGTATGTGTGACAGGAGGTGAAAAATGTTCAAGAGGCTTAAGTGTTTGTGCCTGGCAGAAGGAAAGAGGGAGGGAGGAGGGGCAGGATTGGACGGGCTAGCTGAGGGTGCAGGGGTGTGGGGGGCGAGCCCTGGAGGATGGAGCAGGTTGTGGACACAGGCGAACCCTGTAGGCTATCAGTACCATGGGCTCCGTCTGGCAGGGATGCTTCTTGTACTTTCTGTTTTGGGACCACACCCGGAAGTGCTCAGGTCTCATTCCTGGCGGGGCTCGGGAGACCATGTGGGGGGCCAGGGTTGAATCTGGCCGTGTGCAAGGCAAGCACCCTGGCCGCTGTTGTATCTGGCACCAGCTTTCTGCTTTTTCTTCTTCACTTAGGGAAAAGAACGGTGAGTGCACTGGCAGGCAGGCAGGCAGGCAGGCAGGCAGGCTCTGGAGACGGTCCAGGAGGGCCTGCGGTCTACCTGCGGGCTATGGGCAGTGCTCACCTGCTGCTCTGTGGGGTGTGGGGGGGACCCTGGACTGTTATCAGGAGCTCCTCGGTCCTGCAGTTTCTCTCACGGGCTGTTAGCACTCCTGGGAGGCGGGGGAGGGGGGTGCATGGAGGGGGCCTTGTGCAGTCTGGAGGAAAGAGACCCACGGGGAACGCAACCCACACCCCGGGCCCCTGGCCAGGGTGGGCTCAGCAAACTCTGCCAGGGAAGCTGGCAGAGCTGGCGGATGGGGTTCGGACCCCAGTGCAGGGAAGCTCCTGAGCGCTCAGCAGCAGGCCTGGCCCAGGAGGCAGACCTCGCGGGTCTGAGGGGAGAACAGCCGAAGCTGCGGCGGTCGCCACGGGTGAGTCTTCACTGCATCTCCCAGCAGGAGGGAAATACGCCGGCGGGGTAGGGGGAGGAGACGCAGGGTCACCTAGAGAGGCACGGTCCAGCTGCAGGACGGAGCCTGCGGCCAGATAGAAATCTCCGTGAACAGACAAAACGCTCCCAACTTCAACAGTGTAAAAATGAAAAAAAATTTGTGTATTGCCATGCCCACTGGTCCCAAGTCCACACGCCACCCCTCGGGCTGGCCAGTGAGCCAGTGTCTCCCCGGAGGCGCCTCCCGCCCTGTGCCTGCTCTCGAGTTCCGCCGGACCCGCCCCAGATCTGGCTGGTGTCACTGCTCCAGCTCGCCCTCATTCTGCAGCGTCTTCATGGCCAGCCCCCAGAGGGTCATGCCGGAGAAGAACTGGCCTTCCGAGTTCCGGTAGGCCGTGGCGGCTGTCCGGCTACCCAGGGCGTCGGGCCCCTGGTTGTCCAACGCTGCCAGTGACGAGCGGATCAGCGACATGCCGTCGGCGGGCAGCTCGTCGCCAGCGGCAGCGCTCACGTCTGTGTAGGTGTAGGCCGGCTGCTGTGCGGGCGGCAGGGGTGCCTTGGCCAGCTTCTCGGGGTCCATAGTGAGCTTCTCCTGCTGGCTCCTGGCGGGCGGCTCCAGGGAGCGGAACTTACAGGGGCGGCCACCGATCGCCCCCGCCTCTGGGCCCGGGAGCTTCCCTGCTGCGGGCAGCAGGGACGCGGCCATGTCCTGGGTGAAGGAGTCGGAGCCCTGAGGCTGCTCGAGGTCAGACGCGTCCATGGCCTGGGCCAGCTCCTCCAGCACGTCCGGGGCGGCGGCGCGGCAGTGCATCTTGCGGTGGCGTCGCAGCACGGCCGAGCGCGTGAAGCACTTGTCGCAGATCTCACACGTGTATGGCTTCTCCCCCGTGTGGGTGCGCACGTGCCGCCGCAGGTCACCCGAGCCCCCGAAGCACTTTCCTGGGGAGGCGGACAGTGCGGTCAGGAGAGGCCATGTGGGGGCACACACTCGGGCATGCAACACACTCAGGCTGCACACTCTCTCATGCACACACACACAGACATATGTGTGCACACATGCAGGCACACACAGGCACACACTCAGGCACACGCTCAGGCCTCACAAACACTCATACACATACAGACATACCTGTGTGCACAACATAGGGACACACGAGCTCACACTCAGACATAAGCACACAGGCAGGCACATACATATGTACACACTTAGGCACACACATGTGCACGCCCACACTCAGACACATACAATGTACATGCATACTCACACATGGGCATGCACAGACGCACATGAGACACCCTCCTCAGGTACCATCTAGTGCCCCAAGAACTGTGTCCCCTTCCTCCACTCTGGGCACCACTGTACTAGAGAGGGGTGGCTGTGTCCCTTCCCTTCCAGCCAGGCCAAGTGCTCATGGAAACCCTGAGCCCAAAGTGGCGGGGGCAGGCTGTGGGGCACTGACCGCAGGCGGCGCAGCTGTAGGGCCGCTGGCCTGTGTGGCGGACGCGGTGCTTGACCAGCTTCCTCTGCATGTTGAACGACTTGCCACACTCGTCGCACGTGAAGACCTTGTCGGCTGTGTGCGTCTTCTTGTGCTCCTTCAGGTTACTGAAGTTGCTGAAGCCTGCAGGGAGCCAAGGCAGGGGTGAGGCGCGGTGCAGGGAGGCCTTGGGGAGGGGGAGCCGCCCGCGCAACACGAACCTCGTCCGCAGATGTCACACAGGTGTGGCTTCTCTCCGGAGTGGATGATGATGTGCCGCTGCACGTCCCCCGAGGCTGCAAACCTGCCAGGCCGTGCGCAGACCTGGGTGAGCCACACCCCAGGGGGCGCACAGGGGCTGCTCCCTTGCTCACATCCTCCCTCCTGCCTCCCATGACGCCTGCGCTGGGAGAGTCCTGGGATGCACGAGCCCCCTCCCCTCCCCCACCCCTTAGCTCTCCTGCACAGGCTTGGGGACCTTCTGAGATGGAAGCAGCACAGGGTTGCCTGCCCAGACAGGAGCCGACTGCGATCTGCTCACCACTGTCTGCCAAACCCCTTATCTGAGCCGGGGCCTGGACGGTGTGTCTGGAACTAGCGCCAGGTGTTACTCCAGGACCCAGGGTCCGTGTCACTGGCCATATCCCCACCTTAAAAAATATGTATCAGCACCACTCCCCGCCCCCAACCTACTTTAAGCTAAGCACCCCAACAGAAAGTGTCCCCAGGTGTGCCCCCACCCCCTGGCGCCCAGCACTCACCTCTTGCCACAGATCTCGCAGATGTAGGGCTTCTCGCCCGAGTGTCTGCGCAGGTGTGTCTGCAAGTTCCCCGCCTGCAGAAGAGGGCAAAGACAAAGACGCCAACGATGAGCGGGTGTCTCTGGCTTCTGTCTGGAAATGACATGAGTGCAAAAGGAAGGCGGCTGCACTGGGCCAGGGCCCTATCTGGCTCCCAGTGGAAGGCCGGCCCCGCTCCTGCACACAGGGACGCTGCCCAGTCCTGCCTCCCCACGGGAGCTTTCTGGGCTTACACCATGGGGTGGGCGCTGCGGGGTCCCCCTGTAAAGGTGGAGGCTCATGATGTTATTTCACACATTTCAACTCGGACATCAAAAGCATCACTCGGGAGGCGGAAGGAGACTTGTTACCCGGCTACTTTAGGATGCTGCTCACTGAAAGACAAGCTTCGGGTGGGAAAGGGCCGGGAGGGAGGCCCAGGAGCACCTCCTCGGGCAGTACGGGTGTTCTGCCGCACGGATGGCCATTTCTACCTTTGGGCACACACGCAAATCAGGACACTGACAATATCATTCAGCTGCTGGGCCTTGGCTTTAAATCACTGCTGACAACTCGGCAAGGCTTTGCAAGGAATAACTTATTAAGAGGAAGATCACAAAGTAAGATTCCCATGTCAGGAGCAACAGGAAACTAATAACAAATGGCCTAAAGAATGACGGAAGAAATGAAGCTCACTAATGCCACAGGTGCTCAAATAGCTCCTGGTTCACGGGGCTCAGAGACAAAATGTGACTGCTGCAGTCAAGTCCCTGGTCCCAGTGAGCCTGCCCACCTGCTTAGCTCTTTCATAGTGCTCTGTTCTAAAATCACAAAAATAAACGATTAGGCCCCAGTCAATAGCGCACAGGCACATTCAAAGCGTGGGGCTGTGTGGTCAGATCCAGCTAAGAAACTTGACTGTATAAATCTGCAAGCGGGGCTTCTGAGAGGATTGGAAATGGGCCTGGCCACCTTGAGTGGACTTGCGAGGGGCCGGAGTGTTGCTTGGGGTTTGTAAAGGCTGCCATGTGGCATTCCTCAGGGCTAATGGAGTCGGGAAACTGGCAAGTTAGTCGTGACTTTCCAAAATACAAACAGGGCTTGGGAGAAAACAACTCAGTGCACCTTAGCCTCAGAGCAAGATTCTGGGAAAACATTGAGAGTCTGCTTTGCAGGGAGTGATGAGGAGTGAAAACAGGTCAGTGGATGTTGCCATCAAAAAGAGGCATTTGTCCCCTTCGTCGCTGAGGAGTGTTTTACCTAGACCCCCACCCTAGTGAACAGAATCACCAGCTCCACTTCCTAGATGAAAAACAGATCCAGAGAAGTCAGTTGCTCTGGTTGTGTGATGCTGGTTTACATTTCATCATGCTTGAGAGAGCACCGGGAAGGACTGAGTGTCTGAGAAGAACGAGCTTGTGCTCAGTGCATGCAAGTGCCCCCCTTCACCTGTGCGGGAAACACCCTAAGGACCAGCCCCCACCAGCGGACACCCAGAACTGAACACTGCAGATGCCGTGGACGGTGTTTTTATCCATCCACACGCTTTGAGCCAAATCTGAGGTGTAAATGTCTCGTAGTAACTAATCGTAAGACACTATGCGGTGATGAGAGTCCTGAGTCTGCTCTCCCCAACTCTCTCCAAATGCCTCACTGGACATGAAGTTCTGGGGGCTGCAATCTGGAACAACTAGAATCACAGAAAGCCAACAGCGGATTTGGGGGATGGGGGGTGGGCACAACTGGCTTCCAGATGACACAGCTCACTTACCTGCTCAGCAAGGTGGCCCACCTGTTTTAACCAATCATTTGCAAACCTTAGATGTGCTCTGGACCAGTTAGGCAACGATTTCTCCAGAGGCTATTTATTTTGGTTTGAGGGCCACACTACAGTGCTCAGGGGACTATACATGGCTAGGGTTCCAACCCAGCATGCAAAGCATGTGCTCTAGCCCATGGGACCCCCGAGTTACTCTGTACAGTACAACAGGAGTGAGATATCCCCTCAGTTTGCACCAAAGCTGCATTTCCCTTCCCAATTCTTTGCCCTTCAGGGATGGAACCCAGGGTCTCATGCCCAGCAGTGCTCAGGGACTCTTGCCCGCTCTGGGTTTGGAAATGCTCTCTAGTGGTGCTCAGGTTCCAGTCAGGGTGGCAGCTACCACAGCCAGTGCCTGACCTCCTGAAATCTCTCGACCCCTGTCTTGTCCTTCATAAATAAAGGCGAACAGCTACTGGCTTACAAAGCAAATATAACGGAACAGTCTCATACTCATAATCAACAATGGTAACAGACACTTAGAAATGGTCCCCAGGGCTACAGTGATCCAACAGCGAAGAGGGTGCTCGCCTTGCATGTGGCCAACCCAGGTTTGATCCCTGGCACCCCACATGGTCCCCCAAGTGCTGCCAGAAGTGATCCCTGAGCACAGGCTCAGGAGTAAACCACAAGCACAAACAGGTGCGCCCATCCCCCCAAAGGCCCTCAAACTTAAACGCATTTGGGGGCATACTTAGTACTGGAAATGTATAATCCAAAAAGTATCTTCCCCCTCCCTCCAAAAGAGGGGCACATATTAACCTCATAAACATGACAAGAGATCCAGGTAAGGAAGTTCAACCCAGCAGTTGGGTGATTATTTACTGAACTGCACGGCAAACTGTGTCCCGTTACTTGCCCTTCAGTCAAGTGTCTTTATCTGGGGGACCCACAGGCGGTTCCTGAGACTTGAACCTGGGTAGCTATGCAAGCTGATGCCTAACCAGAGCTCCCTCCGGCCCAGGGGTGGAGAGCTGGTGGGGCTAGCAAGGCGGATGAGCCTTTACGGCTTTCTCCCGGGACTAACCCTGCTAAATACAACACTGAAGAAGCCACAGTCTCTTCTAGCTATTAAATCTCCCAGAAGAAAACCACCTACAAACTCCTTCCAGCAAAGTAAGAGCAGTGACAAGGGAGCATTCACACCCGTGGTGAGGACAAGTGTTCCTTCCACACAGCCAGGCAGGGAGGGCAGGCATGCAAGTAGCCATGACGCCGGCACACACATTCTTCCCGTTCTACACAGCCCAGGACCCGGGCTTACCACATGCCCACTCAAGGGTCCATCCATGGTCCATCCATGTATGCCAAATGCTGCCTTCCTCCATTCCTTCCTTCCTGCCTCCCTCCTGTCCCCTTTCGGTTTCCGCCACTGCACGCATGGGCACTCATCAGACCCTCCCGGCCGGCAGTGCCGGAAGCCTTGTCTCCATGTGCCAGCCTGCTGGGATCCCGGGACACTGAGGCGTGCCATGTACAGGAGGGACGCCCTCCTTTTTGGGGCCACAATCAGCAGTGTTCAAGGGACCGTTTGAGGTGCCGGGGATCTGAATCAGGGTTGTGGGCACCGCAGCCACACACAAGACCAATTGTATTGTCTGTATTGTCTCTGTATTGTCTCCTGGGCCCTGCAGTGCCTGTACGGCCCCGTTAGTGACCACAGACAAAAGCCATGCAGGCATGGTGCAAAGAGGGCTGCTATTGGGCTGCTCAGACAGGATCCCAGGTGGCACCCAAGAGAGGGGCAGGGGTGGGTGACACGGCCAACAGGGCCACATGCGGCACTGCTGCAGGGAAACAGCGTGAGCTCAGCCCCAAGCCAACAGGAGCCACTTGGGGGTCACATCCTGGCATTGATGCCTGGAGCAAGGGCGGAAGCAGAGCAGACGGCCGGAGGTATGAGGGAGGCACTTCCCAGGCCACCCCGTGGGTGCATGAAGGCCTCAGGCCTCCTTTTCCACTTGGTCCTCTCATCCTTGTTGGCAGAGCTACACAAGTCAGGCCCAGGAAAGCTGCTGGCTCACGGCTGTGGGCACGAGTCTCAGCATCCCACCACCTCAAAGCTAGGAGCCCAGTGGGAGTCCGGGGGGCGAGCATGGGAAGGCGGCACTGGGTAAGATGCAGGAGACCGGAGGTGCTCCAACTCACAGACTCCTCACGCTGTCAGCATCACTGCAGCTCCTTGCCCATCTGAGCAGGAAACCCACATGCTGAAGGTGAGCCAGTGCTGGAGGGCCCAGACACGTGAGCCCGGGCGCATTCAGGCGCCGACCACAGCCTCCAATCTGATCTACAAACTCAGGCTGGGTGGTGCGAGACAGGCAAGACCAGCTGGGGGTAACCGCCCTACTCAGAGGGGCAAGCAAGGCTGCAGGGCGAGGTGTGGGAGCCCACCATGTGGGGTAGCTAGCTCCACGGGGGAAGGTCAGAAGTGGGGCTGGCCCTGTGCACAAGGCTTTCCCAAAGCTCAAGCCTGTGTCACTCTAGCTATGGGCCTGATCGTGTGTGGAAGCAGCTTCCGGCTGTCTAGTCCCGGGCGGAGGATGAGCAGCTCACTTCCACGGCAGGGGTGTTTCCCGAAGGGTCTGATGCTTCCCATCATCACCTCCCGCTAGTGTCCGCGGGAGGACCTGCCCGTGGGAGGGCCCTGCAAACACTGGCCAAACGGCCAGCAGAGGCCAGCTGCAGGATGGGAGGAGTCTGCAGGCCACTACCTCGACATGAGTCCAGCGCTCTTCTGCCCACCGCCTTCCCAGGGACATCTCGCACAGAGATGACGACACAGAGCACAGTGGGGCCAGAGAGAGCTCAGCAGGCTGAGCACATTCTTTACGTGCGGGAGGCCCAGGTTTGATCCCCAGCACTACTTGGTCCACTGAGCACTGAGCTGGAAGGAATCTCCGTGAGCACCCCTGCCCCAACAGAGAACAGGGGTGGCAGCCCCCCACGCTGGGGTGGACTAAAACTAGGACCGGGGGGCTGCAGAGATACTCCTAGGGTAGGGCACTTGCTTTGCACGTGGCCCCTGGCATCGCATATGGCCCCCCCGCACCACCAGGAGTAATTTCCGAGTACAGAGAGACATTACCCCTGAGCACTTCGGGGTGAGGCCAGGAGAATAATAAATATTATAAAAAAAAAACCCCAAGCAAACCTCGGGTTGAATTCATCCTTCAGGGGAGAAAGGTGTTGTGAGAATGTACACATATAATCATATATACTTCACCTATTCCTAACACACTTGAATTCTGTTCTGTTGAGACTTTCTGATTTAGTCTTTCAGATTACAGATGTCATCAGAAGCTTTTCTCATAAGGCTCAAAATATGTCTTATCTGTAATAAAAATAAACACCGGGTTTCAGGGGTCCAATTATTAACAGTAAATAAGAGTATTCCCACCTGAGAGAAATGTTTCCCACAAATGTTACATTCAAAAGGTTTCTCACCTAAAAAGAACAAAAAACAAAACAACTTGTAAAATCATTCGCAGGATAAGCACGCTAGTTCATCTCATAAAATCATTCACAGAATCTGCACACTGATTGGCTGCTGAAGCAGCTCAGTGACGTCAGCACTGCAGGATCTCCACATCTCTGAACTCGGCTCCCACCCGGGAGTGTCAGGCAGAGACGGTAGAAGTGAAACCCCGCATCCCCCACTCTGGAGAGACCCCGCCTCCAAACACCCACCGATGCGGAAACGGGCCTCGAGCTAGCCAGCAGGGCCTGGCGGTGGATGGATGCAAACCCAAATGGTGTTTTCCTACGGCACAGCGTGGCCCGTTTTCTGAGCAGAGTTCGCATCACACATCAGGTCACAGGAGAGCCCAGAGGGGGCCTTCCACCAAAGAGGGCCGGGCCAGGCGTGGGGGCAGCTCACGGGCTCCCTGGGTTTCACCCCTGGAGTGCGGGTCCCTCAACACCTCAGGGATGCTCTTCTTCCAGACAGAAAGTGACAGGGAAAAAGTGCCTCCCTGGAGAAGGGCCTAAATGGGGAGGATGCCTCGTGGGAGACCAGCTCCCACCCCTCCCCAGCGGGCTGGGAATGACTCGAACAAGCACAGAACTAGATGGAAAATGCTGCGGGTGCGTATCTGCCCATTAACGGTGGGGACTCTCACATTGCAAAGATCCGCGCCTCCCTCCCCCTCAAAGCACGAGGCATCCCTAAGTCTTCTCCAGACAAGGAGACAGGCTCTTCTCTGAAACTGCAGCGGCATCCTCAAGGATGAGGGGACACTCAGGACCCCGAGGAAGAAGAATCACATTAACTCTGTGTCTGGGGCTACACCGAGAACTCAACTGTGGGGCTCACACAACATTCAGGCCATGTGCCGAGTCGTAAGTCTGGGGAGCAAGGGCCCAGTCAGAAGACGCGGGTCCAAGCCTAACTGCTCTGCTTGCAGGGTCCCCTCCCTTGATTTTCCGGTGGTGCTCTGGGGTGACTCCTGGCTCTACGCTCAGGGGTCACTCCCGGTGAGCCTGAAAGACTGTATGAAATGGGAACCCCACAATGGAGGCTGGGAGAGCTCTCGTTGACTGTGGCTCACGCGGTCAGGATAGTCTGTGTTTGCGAAGGGACAGGGGCACTGGAGGCCCTCAGCCTGCTCCTCTCCCTCCCAGCCCAAACAGCCCTTGGAAAGGGTCCGTCACTCTCAACTCAGCACAGCACTGCCGCTCATCTGAGGGACTAAGCTCCAAGACCCCCAACGTACACTGGAAACCCAAGAAGGCGTCAATTCCTCTGGAGTTGTTTTGTTCTAAACAGACACAGCTCAAGTTCTACATTAGGCAGAGAGAACGACAGCTAGTAACAAAACAGACAATCAAGGACTGGAAGAAAAGTCACGTGAGTGGGGTCTCTCTCAAAAGGTGTCTTACAGATCTTGACTTGAAAGCTGTGGTTGGGGGGATGAGAACCTGAGCAAAGAGGCTCAACTGTCACTAAGCAGGGGCCCAGTAAGCATCTAGCCATAGGGCTGTGTGGAAGCCCAAGATTTCTTGCAGAACACACTCTTCAATTGGTTTGCTAGCAACCAACATTTTTTCAGTAACAAGTCTCAATGATTATTAGGTACTAAGAAATTTAAACAACTAGAATGAGTCAAGTTTTTCCAGGGCAAAGGTAAGTGGGTCATACTTAGTAAAGTATTAAGTATTTTAAATCATTAATAATGATAGTACTTAAAAAATTTTTTTTGGGGGGGCCACAGCCGTCAGTGCTCAGAGACTGTGCCCTGGCTCTGCACTCAGGAATTATTCCTGGGAGACTTGGAGGACTATATGGGATATTGGGGATCAAACCTGGGTCAACCGTGTGCAAGGCAAGTGCCTGATCTGCTGTGCTATATTCAAATACGTTTATAAAGCCCTTTCTCCAGTATCAACTCTCCAAACAATATGGTGAGGTAGTAAACGCCAAGAGAAACTCAAGACTCCAAAGAAATGGCAGAACATCAAGTCAAGGAATGCAACCACGCAAGCATCTTCTCAAAAGCAGCCTTCCTGGAAGGATCCGCGGCATCTCACAGTATGTCCCTGCTGAGGCTTGAGACCAGTGCCATCAATCTGTGACATGCACCAGCGTCATATGCTCCATCACAGGGCAGAAAAGGAGATAATATCATATACATTTCTGTAACACCTTTAAAGAAAGCTTTTAGAGAACATCAGCTTATTAGAAAAAGGAGGTATAAATTAAGATACTAAAATTTTTTAAATTTTCATTTGGAAACACCACAGTATCTAAGCTGATTCAATGATGGCAGCTTATTCAAAAGTTCTCAGGTGGCCGCCCAAGCCACAATTGAAAAAAAATGATATTTACATTACTTCCATGAGAACTTTCAAAATCACTCAAAATAAATGACTGCGGTCTTAATGAACCTGCATTACAGAATAACTGTACTTTTTTTTGAGATGAAAGGTGGACCTGATAAAATCCCTATTAAGAACAAAATTCCAGCTGGTTCTATGAAAGCATGCAGCGCAGCTCCCACTCTGGGGGTGCGGTGGCAATCTGCAACGATGGCATCAAGCAATAGCAAAGCTTCTTACAAACACAGGCGCACGCAGTGGTGTCCGGTCATCTGTGTCCTTCCCTCTCCTGGTGCCTGCGGGACTGAATCAGTGTACCTGTATGAGACCGTCTGTGAAGCTCCAGATTGCTGGGGTGTTTGAACGGTTTCCCGCACAACTCGCACGCGTACTGTCTCTGTGTCTGGAGGGCCGGGGACTGGTCTTCCTGAGGGGCCTGCTCTTCCGGCCGCTCCACCTCATGATCGCAACTGAAGCGCTCAGGGTTCCCAAGTCCTTCCTGCTCCTCCCGCTCAGGGCTTGGGCCATTAATTCTCTCTCTCGGGTTGTCCTGAGCAGGCCCCGTCCCCTGGACTAACCCGCCATCAGTGCTGGGGTGGGCATCTGGCTCTGCAGGTCTCTGGGACTTGAGGAAGTTGAGCTTCTTCAGGTGCACGGCCTTCTTGAGACGCATCTGCTTGGCAGGATGGTGGCAGGGGGGCTCCGGCTCCGGAGCTGCAGCCGCCCCGGGCAGGAGTGGACTCAGGGAGTTGGAGGGTAAATGCTCGGTGGCCTCAAGGACGCACTCTGAATGACTGAGGGCACACGGCTGGTTCTCAACGACAGCGCTGAGGTCGGTGGCACTGCCCACTGCCAAGGGCTGCTCCACTCCCCTCTGGCGGCCGGGACAGGCGGCGTGCTTATAGTACTGCTTACTGTAAAAGTTCCGGAGCTTGGAGTAGTGGTTCGGCTGTTTGAAAGGCTCTGGGCATTCGCCATCGGAGGCAGCAGGGGCTTGTTTGGACGCTTCACTTGGGGAAGGATGAAGAGTCACTGGTGGCGACCCGTGGGAATGTGGGTCGTCCAGCACTTTGCTTGGCTGCCCCTGAGCCGAGCAGGCCGGCAGCAAGGGAGGGTAGTGATCCCTGATGACGCAGTCAGAGTTGGGGGTCAGAGCGCCTGGAGTGGGGAAGGCGCTGCTACATAGCGTGCTGGGGGGCTGCTCCCCAGTGGTGGGTTTCAGGAATGTGTGACACAGACTCAGAACGTTGGGCACTTGCAAGCACTGTGCTATGTCCAGCATGATTTGTACGTTGCCCTGGTTCAAATCTAGATGAGACGTGTACATGAAGTCCAGGATCTGTCCGATGCCACTGACATTTTTAATATCCAAGTGGAAAACGTCATTCTTCTGGCCTGATGAATTCTGAAAGAGACTCCTGGTGAAAGAAAGATCATGTGCAGTGTCAACACCTCAGCAAGCAACTGATCTCTAAAACTGACCCCTGTCCACGCGGGCAGGCAAAACTCCTCTCCACCAGAGGCTGAAATTTAGATTTACACATTGTGTCTTCATTCTTTCAAAACATTTGGCAAGACATCCAACGAAGTAATTCAGACAAAACAGTTTGTTCAATGTACAACTTTTCCAGATAAATCTCAGAGTAAGATTTTGAAATAGACTCACTGCTTTCTCCAGAATGTAACCCTCTAGATGTGTTATGACTTGAATACAGACCGTGAAAACTGAAGGTCAGATATTTTTCAGTATTTCATATAAAATCTAGCAAACAAGCCCTGCTGCCATAAAACACAAAAAATGTTCCTATTTAAGTACCTTAAAATACCCAAAGATAGATAGCTACTAAAAACAGGAACCAGAGAGATAGCATAGCAGGGAAGGCACTTGTCATGCATAAGGCCAACCAAGTCTAATCCCAGCACCACAGAGGGTCCCCAAGTCCCTCCAGGAATGATCCCTGAGCACAGCCTAAGCCTTGAGCACCGCCAGGTGTGGCCCTCAAAACAAAACAACAGAAAGTCCAAAAACAAAAAGTTATAATAAGTTACACTTGAGTCCTTATTTTCTGATTATGACAGAATGATCTATTTATCACTCGAAACATTTGAAGTGGTTAAAATGAAATATGGCAAATCTGATGGCTTTAAAAGAAAATTCCCCATTTTTATCCTGCTCCCCTTTGCTACTGCTCATAGATTGCCTTGGAGTTCATGGCTGTGGTGCTGCTGTCTTGGCTAGGGTGCTCCCATTTCTTTAGCTGCCCACCAACCTTTTGCTGCTTTTTGGGTCACACCTGGAAATGGTCAGGTGTTACTCCTGGCTCTGCACTCAGGAATCACTCCTGGCAGTGCAGTGCATGGGGTACCATATGGGATGCTGGGGATTGAACCCGGGTTGGCTGCATGCAAAGCAAATACCCCCCCCCCCCCCCCACACACACACACACTGTACTATCACTCCGGCATCCATTTCTGTGGCGCTCACACGCACCTGGGAACTGCAGACAGTTGGGGATGCCGGGACCACACTTGGTGTCCAACACCAGGTAGGGTGGAATGCAATGGCCTTAGGTGGGGCTCTGCCTTGCCACCTTGTGGCTTCAGACCTTCACATACTTCCCTGATCAAACTGGCTCATCACTTCAAAAGAAACTCTCTACTATCAAACCAGTGTTTTTCTATTTTTGATTTTTGGGCCACAGCAAGTGCTCAGGTCACTGCTGGCTCTGTACCCAGGGATCACTTCTGGTGGGGCTTAGGGAACCACATGGGGTGCTAGAGATCAAACCCAGGCTGGCCATGTCAAGGCAAGTGCCCTGCCCACTGTACTATCTCTTCCAGTGCCCCAAAGAGAAAACCAAAAGGAGCCCAAATATTTTCACACCAGAAAAGCTATTTCAATAAGAAGGAAATCTAAAATCCATACCTAAAGTACTGGCTGAAGGCAGCGAGGACGTTCTTGTGTGCTTTGAAGCAGACACCTTTTACCACGAGCGTGCAGTCACACAGCAGGCCCTGGATCCGCTGCTCGTGCAGCTGCTGAAGCAGGTGGCAGCTATGCGCGGCTGCGGGGTCCATGCTCAGCCATGCACAAGACCTGTAGCGGAGAACACGTGAGCCTCAGTGCCGAAGAGATGGGGCGGAAACGCCACCCACATCCTCTCTGCCAAGACTGTCTGGGAACAGCAAGGACTTGACCATGCTGCTCAATACAAGTGTGTGCAGAGGATGGCAATGCTCTACTGGTGCCGCATGGCTGTGTCATCAAACCTCCTGTTCATACTGAAAGCGCCACTTAGTCAAGAATCTACACTGGGAACATGACAGATGACACCACGGGCACCTCTGGCTCCTATTTAGGATGGTCAGTGAATAGAAGGATTCACAGAAATGCTGAGAAGGTTGGAAGAGCTGGTGGGTTGGGGAATGGCTCAGAGCTGGTGTGGAGATTTTGACAGCAGTGGCCCAGGGCTTGGTTCCCAGCACAACTTACTGCACAGCTTGTGGGAAGTTACTCCTTGAGCAGGGCCAAAGGAAGTGGGAATGAGTTGGGCAGATACTGGCAGGCACGGGTGTCTCCCAAGGCAGGAGCTGGCTGAGCTCCTGAGTGTGGTGACGACGAGGGAGTGGTGGAGAGAGACCCAGCCCTCTTTTCTGATTGGCAGTCTGGCTGCTTTATTCACTAACTCCAAGCTGAGGCAGTCCAGATAAACAACCAGTGCTCCGGCAACCAGCCAGCTGTGGCCCTGGAGCACGACCCACGAGCTCTGTGACTCTCGCTGGTAGTGGATGAGTATCACAATAGGCAAAATATGGAAACAACCCACAGACAAATACAGAGAGCTGGATAAAGAAACTATGAATATATATACACAATAGAATGATATGCAGCATTAGCAAAGATAAAGTCCTGCAATTTGCTGCCCTGTGGATGGATCTGGAGATTTACGAAAATAGATTTCATATTTAGTGAAATCAGCCAGAGGGAGAGGTACAGACTCAGACGATCTATCATAAGTGGGATATAAAAGAAATATCGTAGGGGAGTATTAAGTTCTCTGTGGCAATAGAAATGAAGAGCAGAACTGGTCTTCAGTATGAAGACTGGCACGGGGGCAGGGGTGAGGAGAGTAAGTTAAGGGAACACTAGGACAACAGGGGTGGGAGAAAACACCACAAAGGCAGGCTGAGGGTGGGAGGAAACTGGGGACACTGGTGGAAGGTAGTGGGCAATGGATAAAGGGTTGGTGTTGATGGTAAAAGGTAAAAAAAAGGTAAAGGCCCTCCCGTTGATCGTCGATTTGCTTGAGCGGGCCCAGTAACGCCTCCATTGGAGACTTTGTTGTTACTGTGTTTGGCATATCGAATACTTCACGGGGAGCTTGCCAGGCTCTGCCGTGCGGGCGAGATACTCTCGGTAGCTTGCTGGGCTCTCCGAGAGGGGCGGAGGAATCGAACTCGGGTCGGCCATGTTGGCTGCGTGCAAGGCAAACGCCCTACCGGTGGTGATGGTGTTGAACAATATATTCCTGAAACTCAATTCAAAATATCTTTGTAACTCACTATGATTCAATTTTTAAAAAAAAAAGCTAAAAAAAAGAAAAAAATCCAAATGGCCAAGGGGCACATGAAGAAATGCTCCAAATCACTAATTATTAGGGAAATGCAAATCCAAACAATGAAATACCACCTCACATCAGAGACTAGCACTTACCACCAATAACAACCAGTGTTGGCAAGGATGTGGGGGAAAAGGGACCCTTATTTATTGCTGATGGGAATGTCAACTGGTCTAGCCCTTATGGAAAACAATAAGGACATTCCTCAGAAAACTAGGAATTGAGTTTCCATACAACCCAGCAATTCTGCTGAGAACGTACACTAAGGACCCAGAAACACAACGTAGAAAAGGTATGTACTCTTATGTTCATTGAAGCACTGCTCACAACAGCCAGAATCTGGAAACAATCCAAGTGCCCAGAACAGATAACTAGATTTAAAAAAGCTATGGTGGGGGTATGGTGCTGCCAGCAGGTCAATCTGTATCTGTGAGGCGAGTGCACCAGCAGCCTGATGGCACTTTCAGACTTCCAGATACCCCAAAATTGCTGCTGTGCCTTTGGCCAGACCCCAAAAACTTGGGGCAAAGTTTACCAAGAAAGTAAACGGCCAAAAATTAGGTATGTGGGAGACATACCCACAAACCACCTTTATAATAGGTGGTTATAAAGCTATATAATTGGAGGCATGGCCTCTCTGGCTCCTGATCAAGCTGCTTAATGGCCATGATCCCAGAGACTCAGAAACAAATCTTGAAACCCAGCGGCTTTTGGCAGAAATGTGTCCAGACCCACCAGTAGGTTACTGTCGCTGGGCTACCCCAGGTGGGAATAGGTTTCGTGCCTTGGCCCGTTCCCCCTGGTGGCCCAGTGGCCGCCATCCTTCAGAGGCCACTGGACAGTCAGGTTTGGGCCCACAGTGACGAGACACGTGGGGCCTCACGGGATGGGGTGGAGCTGGCCCTTTCTCCCCATTCCAATAAGACCCCGAGTCGCCACCCACGAATGGCCTCTCTGGCTCCTGATCAAGCTGCTTAATAGCCATGATCCCAGAGACTCAGAAACAAATCTCGAAACCCAGCGGCTTTTGGCAGAAATGCGTCCGGACCCCTCAGTAGGTTACTGTCGCCAGGCCACCCCAGGGGGGAAAGGGTGCTGTCCCTCCGCCTGCTCCCCCTTAGCGGCTCGGTGGCCGCCATCAGCCAGAGGCCATTGGACAGTCAAGTTGGGCCCGCAGTGACGAGACACATGGGGCCTTACGGGATGGGTGTCGAGCCGGCCCTTTCCTCCCTGTCCCAACGAGACTCTGAGTCGCCACCCACAAACGACCTCTCTGGCTCCTGATCAAGCTGTTTAATGGCCATGATCCCAGAGACTCAGAAACAAATCTTGAAACCCAGCAGGTTTTGGCAGAAATGCGTCCAGTCACTGCAGTAGGTTACTGGCTCTGGACCACCCCAGGTGGGAATAGGTTTAGTGCCTTGGCCTGTTCCCTCTGGAGTCCTGGTGGCTGCCATCCTCCAGAGGCACTGGACAGTTAGGTTTGGGCCTGCAGTGATAAGACACACGGGGCCTCACGAGATGGGGGTGGAGCCAGCCCTTTCCTCCCTGTCTCAACAAGAGCCTGAGTCCCACAAACGGCCTCTCTGGCTCCTGATCAAGCTGCTTAGTGGCCATGATCCCAGAGACTCAGAAACAAATCTTGAAACCCAGCGGCTTTTGGCAGAAATGTGTCCAGACCCAGCAGTAGGTTATTGTCGCTGGGCCACCCCAGGGGGGGAAGGGTCTGTCCCTCCACCCGCTCCCCTTTGGTGGCTCGGTGGCTGCCAACTGCCAGAGGCCATTGGACAGTCAGGTTTGGGCCCACAGTGATGAGACACACAGGGCCTCACGGGATGGAGGTGGTGCCAGCCCTTCACTCCCCATCCCAAAGTGACACCGAGTCACCACCAAAAAAGGCCTTTCTGGCTCCTGATCAAGCTGCTTAATGGCCATGACCAAAGAGACTCAAAAACAAATCTTGGAACCCACCAGATAGTAAGTAGAAAGTAATGTGGAAATCATCTGCCCTACAGGTAGGGGAGGGTGTGGGATGGGGTATATTGGAGATTTTGGGGGTGGAGAATGGGCACTGGTGAAGGGATGGGTGTTTCATTGTATGACCGAGACTTAAACCCAAAAGTTTTGTAACTGCTCTCACGGTGATTCAATAACTTACAAAAAAATGAAAAATAAATAAATAAATTAAAAAGCTATGGTACATCCATACAATGAAATACTATGCAGTCATCAGAAAAGGAAAAAAAAAGAACTCCCGAAATTTGCTGATATATGGATGGACATGGAGAGTATCATGCTGAGTGAGATGAGTCAGAGGGAGAAAGATAAAGAATGATCACATTCATTTTCGGGATATAAAAATCACTGTCACTGTCCTCCTGTTGTTCATTGATTTGCTTTAGCAGGCCCAGTAACGTCTCTATTTTGAGACTTGTTAGTGAGTTTGGCATATTGAATATGTCACGGGTAGCTTGCCAGGCTTTGCCGTGCGGGCGAGATACTCTTGGTAGCTTGCCAGGCTCTCCGAAAGGGGTGGAGGAATCGAACCAGGCTCGGCCGGATGGCTTGTGCAAGGCAAACGTCCTACCGCTGTGCTATCGCTCCAGCCCGATTACTATCAACTGCATTTTTTTCATATGCTTTTTGGCTCAATTTCTTCTGTGAGGAAGTTTCTACTCATCTCTTCTCCCCATTTTTAATAGGGTTGGTTGGATGCTTTTTTTGTCAAGTTCTATCAATGCTTTTGGGATGTGTGGTGGGCAAATACTTTCTTCCAGTCAGTGGGCTGATTTTGTATTCTCTCTTTATTTCCTTTGAGGTGCATAACCTTTCGAGTGTCCTATTTGTTTATGTTTGCTTCCACTTGCTTGGTCAGTGGCAATTTCATCTTCTAAGATGCCTCTAATTTCAATGTCACAGAGAGATCTGTTTTTCCGCTATGTGCCATATGAAATCAGGTCTGATATCAAGGTCTTTAATCCATTTTGATTTGAATTTTATGTATGGCATCAGGAAGAGGTCCAAGTTCATTTTTTTGCATATGGCCAGCCACTGTTCCCAGCACCACTGTTGAAGAGACTTTCCCTGCCCCACTTCATATTTTTTGCTCCTTTATCACAAATTAACTGATCATATACTTGAGGGTCTCTGTCTTTGGATTTCTTTAGTTTTTCAATTCTTTTCCACTGATGAAAACATCTTTCTTTCAGTACTATGCCGTTTTAACTACTACTGCTTGAAGCTGGGAAGTGATGCCACTCAGCTTCTTTTCCCTAAGAACTGCTGGGCTATTCAGAGGGCTTTATTGTTATGGAACAATGAATTTCAGAAGTGCTTAATCTACTTTTTTGAAAAATGTCATGGGTATACTTAAAGGCAGTGCACTGAATCTATATAATGCGTTGGGGAGTACTGCCATTTTAATGACGTAAATCCTCCCAATCCATGGGCAGGGGTATTTCCATTTCTTTGTGTCTTT